ATAAAGTAACTTTTGTATTATTTTGTGTTATTCACTTGTACACTTGGTATACTTCATGTGTATTTCAAGTGTCACCTAATGAATGTGAGGACAGATGTTTTTCTTTTCTAATTTAACAAAATGTTTCCTTTTTGGTATTTTTATTCATCAGGTAGCAACATAGCTTTATTCATACAGTATGTTGATATAAGCTAGGAACTGTGAATTATTTCCAAAGCAAACTGGAATAAAACATCTTTGCATATATGTGTTATAGATTTCCTTTTTAGAATTTCTCTTGTAGTCTTTTGGATACACAGTTTGATTTTTAGGTAAATCAAGCTATTCCTATCCCAATATTGGTTTCAGTAAATTTTTGAACGCATTTTTATTGCAGTTTTCCTTTTCATTTACTTTGAGCAGTGTTACTCTTAGCTGAAGCTTATGAAATCAGACTTAACGTTAGGTTTGTGCTAAGAAAAATTGCATGTGGGTTAAGATGCTAAACAAAGACAAAATGAATGGAGGTAAAAGAATGAACCTGAGTGAGGGTTAAATGGCACCATGTGAAAGGTCAGAGGAGAAATCCATCTCTGTTGGGGCCACAGCCAGACACAGTTTTTTGGTGTTAAGAGCCACAAGTCAAAAAAGTTACAAATAGCTGGCTTAATATTTCAGGTTCAGGCCTGTGTGGAGCTTGCAGGTCAGCGAGGGATGAGGGTGGCTCTGTGGTGTCGACACCCAGGCTGTAGCCCAGGGGGAGCTTGGCGAGTGCTGGCAGGGAGGGGAAATGGCTGCCGGTCCAGATAAGGTCTATCGTAAGAGCCAGTGTGGGGGGGAAGGCCCCAGTGTTAGAATATTCCTCACAGTGTTTGGGCCATTTCCTCAATGACATATGCGAGTGAGTGCTAGCAGTGTGCTAGCACGCTGCTAGCACACCTTTACCCTAACATGAGATGCCTTGAGGTGGCTGTTGTAAATTGGCATTATATAAACTGAAATACATAGTCAGGGAGCTGTAGCTCTTTTCAGGAGCAGATCAAAGTTCTTGGTTGCTCCTGAGAGTCTTCTTTCTGCTGTATCAGGTGCAACTGTTGTGGTTTTTATGTCATCTTATCTCTTATGTCTTTGTTGTGTCTGTAGCGGACAACACTCACATGGACTTAGGTGTCCGAGGACTCGCACGCTTTCTGTCGAACTGTTCCACGCTCACTGACCCAAAAGGTCAGACAAGCTAGAAAAAGTTCACCAAACCAGGACAGTGTTCCAAAAATGATGAAACACATGTGACTGAGCTTTGTTTTTCTTCTATTCTTTCTTAAAAGTAATTTCACAAGCCCTTTAAAAAATTAAAAAAACTAAAAAAACAAAACAATTTATGCCTTGATCTTTTGAAGGGGCTTGAGCCCTTGGTTGGGAAACAGCGAGACAAATCTAACGCATTTCAAAGTTCAACCGTCTCCAACACTAAAGTCATTCTTAAAAAGCATTCATTTATCCATTTCTATTCCTAGTTTTAGTATTTTATTAAAGCAGAATGCATGAGTTTTTAGTTCTAATTATTTATTGATTTTTTTTTGTAAGAGGATCTAACACACCTTTCCTGTCTGCTTTGATCAGTACAGTTCTAACTAACCTTTTGTACCTTATATTTCTGTTTAACATCCCCCACACTACCAGCTCACAAGCAATGGGTGCGGCCTCTCTGCAGGCTTCTGGACGTTGACTAATCAGAGCAAAGCAAGCTTTTAGGCCAGGTGAGATCTTTAAGAGACAGAAACTAAAATGACCGGATTCACACAGTGGGTGAGCTCGGGCGGCGCCAACATCAGATCAACAAGCGCTTTGTTGAACTTCCAAGTTGTGTAAAGCCGGCCCCAAAGGCCCCGAATGAAAACACAGAGCTCCACATGAGCATTTTAAGACCCTTTTAAGAAGAATCCAAGTACTTTGTCATTTTAAAAACCACACAATCACAATCACACAAACCCATCCAACATTAACATATAACCAAACATTTAGCCCTGTGCATATGCTAACAACAACACAGTGACCATAAGAGCAGATTTTAGAAACCTAGAAGAGAAGTGAAAATAATGTAGAGGCTAGGAAATATATATCCCAAATGTTTCTGTGGCATGTTATTGTATACATCTTATTATTTATGGGCAGTACTCAAACATTTAATAATAGCTTAAGTAAGAACTTCATCTGCTCTTATACACAGCTTACATAGGGAGGCTTACAGGCCAGAGCACAGTTCAGTCCCTTCACATGAGTCTGGATCCCACGTGATGAAATAGTTAAGCATAAAATGACTGTAAGTTACCAAAGAAAGCTCAGAAAATAAAACAAAAAAGAAGTTTAATGAAAAAATAAAGCATTAAAACGCTGAATTAATAAAATGTGTCGCCCACTGCAAAAATGTAAGCAACAGAGTTTGATCAGAAAGATGTAGTTATTGATACGGGTATAAAATGTAAACAAATAGGTGGAGACATTTCCTGAATGATTGTTAGATCACAGATGCAGTGATATTCAAGGTTTTAAAGCTGTGATGTTCATTTTGGGTAGTTTACTAATCTTATTCTTTAGGATTCTTTATGTTATGTATGTAAAATTTGTGAATTTGTGCTGCCAAATACAGGGAGTGCAGTAGGAAGGTGAATGGCTTCCTTTTGGAAGGTAGTGTAGATTAAAGATTATAGTCCAGAAAGCTGAAGTTGGTAGCGATGTGCCATAGCTGTCACACTTCAGGGTTCACCCAGATGCCCTTCAGGGTTTGAATTATGAGAAACCAAACAGTTACAGTTGGACATTTACATTCAGGGGGAATTGAAACTTGTAGCCTTTCACTTTTAAAAACCCAACAGAACGTAAGCACATTGATGAAAATGTCACTCAGTGTGCCTTTTTTTTTTCTTTTTAATGGCGGTCGCAGCTGACTTCTTTTTTTTTTTTTTTTTTTAAACATTTCAACAAGTTTGCCTTAAAGCGGCACTTCCATGCTCATATGGTTGCTGACATCAGAACCCAAAAACCCAGCATTCTCCCCTCGTGTAAAAATACATTCGAAAGTAAAGACTGTGGATTTTGTCACCTTCCTATTTCACATTACATTTCCTAAGATGTGTGCAGAAGAATGCGAGCAACGATGGCTGCGGTGTTGAACTGACTAACAGTAAGAACTACAGCAGCTCTCCGCTCTAGTTAAGATTATCACCGACACCATCTTCTCACAGGAAATGCTCCACCAAACCTTACTGCACCTCTGGCTGCTCATAGATCTCATTTATGGAGAAATCCTAACTGCCACACTGTGCAACACGTAGAATGACATACACAAGCCGTGGAAGTGAACCATCACTGTGATACATGAATGTGAGCTGAACCAGTAAAAGTTGACACTGCAGACATTATAACCTCGTTATGCTTTAATTTGACCTCGTTTCCCAGCTCGATGTGGATTAAGAGAAACATATTTGTTAAAAGCAACCAGGGACGGTGTAGTGTGTGTTGCTCATGTCACGGTGGGCTCATTGTCCAACTGCTGTCGGCTTTTTTTAAAAAAGGCATCTGCAGTAGGCAGAGTTAAGACGGAAGAAGAGAAAGAGAGCGCCTGTGACTGTTAAACCTCTTCCTGTGGTTACATCACGTGACTGTGGAGGGTTCAAAAGGAGACGACTTCTTCTTCTTCTTCATCATCCCCTCCTCAGACAGGCAGAAGACACCTGTGGGGCCACAGGACAATCAGCGTTCAGAACAGAGAGACAGGAAACAAAACAAAAAAGGAAAGGTCGAGGTAAAGTGTTAATGGTTGACATGCTTTGATTAATGCTAGAACTGTTTGAATTGTTTATGTTTGAAATCTTTTTTTTTTGTAAATGATTTTTGTGTGTCAGATGTGGAAAGCAAACCAAAATTTACAGTTTTTATTTTGTTCATTCTGTACTTCTTTGATTTGACTTCTAGGCAAGCAGCCTCTGTTCAGAGGTTGGCTTAGATTACTGAGGAAACACATTTGTATTTAAAACTTAAAGGTTTTGCAAAGTTTTTCTTTGAGACTATGATTGAAATTCTTAAACGTGTCTTTCGGATCTTTCTGTCCGGTCCCATTTCAATGTGATCAGAGCTGTCGTGTGTTATTGGTGGACTTATTTTAAACGCCTCCTGATCGAAGAGAACAGCTCAGACAGAAAAGCTTACTCATGGCTGCTAAAATGGCTTCCTCAAGATAGCGCTTCCTCTGGCAGTTTGCTCCAAAAACAAAACAAAAAGAACAAATTTTTGCCTCACAGGGTTTTTTTTTGTTTTGTTTTTTTTTACATTTTTTTAGTTTATGTTCTTCAGAAATGTAACCAGACATCTGATGAATTTGAAATAATTGCGTGGAAACAGAAGGCACGCAAGTGTTTCAAGAGGAATCAGGAAGTGTGCTTTTTCTGGTTGAGCATGAGCAAGGGCTGCTGAGCTGTTAAGCACAGAGGTTTCAGGTCGGTCTATCTGTCAAGGGGCGGGGGAGGGGAAGGGAGGGGTGGTTGGTGTGTGTTAGTGTGTATGTGTGCAGCTGCCAGAGCAGGTGCACAAAGAACAGAGAAGTGGGAGAAGACAGAAGACGGAAGAGGAGCGGTGGATGTACAGTGCAGTCATCCATAAAGTAGAAAGCACTACTAAACTCCTCGCCACAGTGTAGTGTTTCCTACTTTATGGATGAGTGTACTGTTGGCTTCAGGGAGAGCAGAGGCCCGACATGGCGCCCCGCGCAGGAAGTTGCAAAAGAGGAAGCTGCTTTGTCTCGCACGGCCACGCTCTGCCCAGAGTGTTGCAGCAGTTTGTTCACATGGGCAGCGTGCGGCACAGAGCAAAGCTTGCAACTCTTTTTCCGCTTTAGATCTCATCTGTTTCACCTATCACAAGTGCAATGTATGATCTGCTGATATGAAATAAAGATAAACATTCAAAAATCGGGACCTTGTGTTTCAGCTTCTTTTTCAAATTACCACACATGACACACACAGGTGTTTTCTGTGAAAATATACATAATTTATTGCTGTAAAAAGATCCATATTGAAAGAAACCGTCACAATTTTAATCCTTTTAGTTCTAACATCTTCATACACCGTTCCTCCATCAACACTGCCTGGGCATGCATAAGAAAAAAAAATCTGAAAAACAATATTAACAAAAAATATTTACACACGAGCTTCCAAAAATGGGTAATAAAAACATTTATATATATATTTATATATAATATAAAAAGGTAAATCTTACACTGGTTTCAAACAAATGAATGAATGAATAAATGCAGCTCAGGAAAGATTACAAAAAAAAATCTGCATTGTATGAAAATAGTCCCAACACTGTTCAGTACATACAGACAGCTCCTACAGCTCCATCTCCCGCTGCATCCACCATCTACAATTCAAAAGGGAGCCCGCAAAGACGGAGAATGTGACAGCAACATAAATAAGGCCAAACATGGGTATAACATTAGTATGCATGCAATCAATAAACATCCTGTAAACAACAGATTAAGACTAAACAAGGTCTTCGTGTAAGGCTAAATATGATCAGCTGAGCTAAAATACTGCCTACAGGGGTCCTACAACATATGGAGGGGGAGGGGGATGCCTATGTTACTACTCAGCAGGTAGAGAAATAATTGTGCATTAAAGGCCGTCAAATCCAACACAAGTACAAATGGTTGCTGTACATTTCGGCAACTGTTAAGCATCCGCCCTTGTTTTGATTCTTAAAAAAAAAAGAAACACATGAAGAAGTCAGACAGTACAGCCTCGCTCTTGCCTCTGTCCCGGCTACTTCACATCTAAAGTGTCAATCCAGCCCCTGTCTTCTTTTTTTTTTTTTTTTAATTCTTGGCATCATCACGCTCCCTTTATTTTAACACTGACAAAATTCAAACATTCATCACATTAAAGAAAAGAAAAAGAAAATAAATAACGTGCCTCCAGCTTGAGCCTTCACTCCACCTGCCACACGGGCCTTCAAGCCAGCGCTAGTAAACCAGGGAAAGCACCGAACATTTTGGCATCTCCTGTTGCTTTTTCAACAACCACACGCTCAGCATGGAAAAGGAAAGGTGTGAAGACCTGAGAAGCTACCTAACAGCCCTGTGTGTGTGTGTGTGTGTCAGCACGGCTCTGTGTTTGTTCCCCTGCAGTCAAACGCAAGAGCCGCCATTGCTCAAGCTCTACTTTTTGAAGAAACTTTGACAGTATTGTGATGCAAATGTGCGAACAGAAAAACGCCGTGTGGGCTGAAGAGGGATCACGTAACACCATTCAAATTGACTACAGTTATGTGACTGCATTTACACGAGGAGGCAAAACTAAACACACATCAACAACTTATTGCAGAGTCTATCACATTACAGTAGTGCAGCTAACCACCACAGCAATGACTGAAAACTGCTCATTTTAAACGCTGTTCTAAGAAAGTGCTGCTCTGTGTGCCACATTCAAACATCACCACACCCCACAGGCTAACACTGCTCAGTATCTATGACCAGCTACAATATTTTCACAGTTTTCATTTGGGACTACAGATTAAGCAGAGCTGCAACAGTAAAGCAATTGTTTATTAATCATGACGTTTTCACACTGAGAGATGTTGAAGATGTTTGTGTCAAAACCCAGTTGAGCCACCATGCATGGCATGATGGCTCAACCCCCAAATACAGGGAAATAAAGTTCAAAATCTAATTATTTTTCAAGCACCTGCCTCCTCATATACAGGTTAGTCCCACAGACACACAGCAGGAAGTGGGCTGAAAGGGGTCACACATGAGTTTATTCTAGTTTAGCTTCTCAAACATAATCACTGACTCTTCTTCTCTTCTTTTGGAGTCGCACTGAGCTGCAGGGATCTAACGGGCATCCCCCTGGTTTTAAACTAAATGACTGACCGATTAATCAACAAATACTTCATTCAGTTGCAGCTCTGTTGGCTACTGCTCATTTCTGCACACTAACACTCACACACAGATGGCAAACAAGTAACAGTTAGGTCAGTTATGACTGTTGACACAGCCATCAAGAGTTCCTGTATTAATGTCTGAGAAAGGCAACTGTTTTCAGTCTCACCAGCGATTGTGTGGCTTCATCCACACACACACACACACACACACACACACACGCCAAAGAAGGAGAACCCTTCACATTCTTTACATTGAACGCCAACAAACAGTCAGGACTGTTAACCACAAACGCCACGATGTCTTAGCTCTAAACTACACATACCAAAGTGGATCCTTGCTGTCTCTGACAGCTCTAAACCTCGAATTTTACGCCCCGATGCCACTTCATGCGGTGTGACCACTGTTAGGGCAGGAATCCGATACAAATAAATATCATGTTCTGTACAAAGTAATGTATAAATACTCTTAAAGACAAGAAACACAGAGAGAAGCATCCATTCAGGATAGATAGTGCATTCTTAATAATGACACAGAGGAAGAGACGGCGTGCTGCCTCTGTCTGTTTGTTTCAAATAATAAATAAAGTGGCACCAGTACACGAGCATTAAAGCTAACACTTCATTAGCTGTCTCTGAGTTGGGATGACGTCTTCTCTGTTCCGTATTGACTGTTCTAAATAAAGTCAGTCCTAAAGGAGATTCAAACTGCTTTAAAGCCTCCAATGAGTTGAAATTTTGCAAATGCTCAGATTATTAGGAAGTAATTGCTCACTTCAACATGCATCTATACATGCTCTTGTGATGCCGTTGGGTGTTTTAGGGTATTCTATATTTAACAGCTGGTCTACCAGTGCTCTAAGGCAAATGTAGAACTACTGACAGTTAAAGCATCAATTATTAGATCTGATAGCTGCTAACTGCACCGACTACCAACTGAGAATTACAGTTACAGAAAAAGTGCTTTTAATGTGACACAAGTGTTGTGTGTCAGATGTCCAAAGTTTGTCATTCTTTCTTGCTGGATCCCAGCTTTTTGAACAGCTTCTTGCCTTTGGAGAAAAAACCTTTTTTCTTCTTTCCTTGCACAGAAGATTCGGCCTGTGCAGGGCTGTCCACAGGACGGGGGTCTGAGGCCTTCACTACAGCTGGGCCCAGAGCAGGGTCCAGGTCTAACGTGGGGCTTGCAGTGGGTGCCAATTGGGGTTGTAGATCTGTGTGCTCTGTCATGGCGGGGCAAGCAGGTTCAGTTTGAGGGGGCAAAGATTCTTCTAGTGTTGATGGCCCAGATTCCTGTGGCTCTGTGGAAGACGTCCAAGCATCCTAGGAAAAAAGGAAATCAAGAGTTTAAAAAGCAGCAAAGCAAAACACTGTTGAAGTTCATTTACACAACATGGGCTCATCATTTCTTCTATTAGAATTAATATTTGATAAAGGAAACAGTAACAGGGAGACACAGAGGAAGAAAGATTTCAACTCATCCTGTGGTTCACATTTAGGGGCAGGATCACAGAAGCAGTGTACAGCTACGGGTTGAGAAGGTTTTAAGGAGGAAGTAAACAGACAGCGAGAGCGTTGATCGCCTAGAAACACTTACGATCAAGTCTCAAAGTGTACAGAACGTTTTTGCTTCTGGAAAAGGCCATGCAGGAAACAGTGAGATGAAAGAAATGTGACAGAGCAGAATTAATGAAACAAAACAGGTTTAAAGAAACAACAAACTCAACAACCAGAAATTAGACATACTTGTGAGTGATAACAAAAAGAAACACAGAAATCTGGGATGTCAGTGACTTGTAACCATGTAGGTCAGGCCATTGCCCACAGTTTCAAAGCTACCTGTGACTCTTTCTTGGGTTCAGGTGCAGGCTGCACAGGAGCATCATCTGGGACGGCCTGCAGGAAGTTGGAGGGGACGAGGCCTCTGTGGCCATTTAAGTCACCCTGAAAGAGAAGGTGGTAATTTGATGAAATGCACTCTCTACTACAAAGGTATTTTATAAGTGGTACAGCTACAGCCAGTAAAGTTAAGTTTTAAGCAAAGTAAAGTTAAACGTTTTAAGAGCCACATAATATTGCAGTCATGTCAGATCTCCTAGTCATTTTCAGACTTACGTAGAAGAAGCCATCTTCGTCCATGTCACCAAACACATGTATGATATCTCCAGCACTGAAGGTCAGCTCAGCCTGGACAGGGGCATAACAAACAGAGCAGGTAATCAGCAAACATTTCAGCCCCATAAAGCAAAAAGAAAGCATCTGCAGTCCTAACCTCTATGTCGGTGTTGGGGGAGCTCTCTCGTGGGTCATAATCAAAGATGGCGACCATCCTTCGGGCTCCTGGGGCTGGCTTCCCCACAGCTGCAGTGGCTGAGGGATCCACCTGGCTGGGATCTGTCAGCCAATGAGAAAGGGGGGTGGGTGGACAAACACTTTTTTTAGTACAGAGTCCTGAAAATGGGCATTTCCAATAAACTGATCGTGTACGTACATTCGACTCGCTCAGCATCATGCTCAGCTGAAGGAAAGTCACATCAGAACAACAAGAACAGAAGATTAGCAGAGAGAGTTAGCATTTGTAATTCATGAAAAAGGTGATGGCAGCCTGAACTGTGCTGCCCCATTAAACATAAGTCGGAGCAAATATTTATCCTGAGGCGGGGAGAGTAAATTACTCTGCAACACTGTTAGCAAAAATGGAGACAAATGGATGTTATTAGATGAAAAGAAGGGACAGAAGGGACTGTTTGACCTTTATAACTAAGGGTTAATGATAAGCCGTTAAAGAGTAACTATTATGTGATATTTAATCTTTGTATGATCCACAGTTGCTCTCACACTGGGAATCAGTGGAGCCTCTCAGTTCAACCATTGGCTGAAACAAGCTGCTTTTAACTCCTTTCACCCTCCCTCTTCTGATTGGCTGTCCCTTGCAAGCAGATGATTTCCCCTGCATTTGATGCATTTTCAACTCAAAGAAGATGAATTTATTGTTAGTGTTCCTTACTTTTAATGGGTTTAAAGGCCAAGAGTCAAACGTACTCTAAAAAGGATGAATGAAGGCGACATGATCAGCAACTCTGAATACAGTTCTCATGTTTACAACCATTAAAAAAAACAAAACAAAAAGAAAATAGAAAATAACAGAAAATAACTCCAGCTGCAGCAGCAGGTAAAGGCATGCTGTCCTCCAGGGCACACTGAAACAGTCACCTGATCATGCAGGTGCAAACGGAGGCGGGCAGAGCTACAAACCTTGACTGGAGGAGTTTACACTCTCCTCGCAGATGTCTGCAGACTTGACTGGAAGAGACGGGGTGAAGGGAAAAGAGTACAGGAAGAGTCACAGAATGACACAAGGCACTGTCTGAAAATAATCCTGCAGGTCATCACACAGGCAGCACGCAAAGTCACAGGTGGAGCGCAGAGGGGAATGGATGTTTCAACAAAGTGATCTGTAGGTGACCATGTAATTCAACTGTGACACAGGAGCAGGAGACAAAAACCTTCTTTGAGGTTCTTAATGAATTAGCAACACATGGCAACATCCTGCTACTATATCCGTGTATTACATGCATAGCCAATGACAGGACTCATGTATGTGTCTTTGAACTTTTGAAAAGCTGTTGCACACTTAACCTGTGGAGAGATGGTAGCATAAACAGCCTTTAAATACTTGGCTTTAATTGTAAAGTACGAAACTACTCGACAGATACTCCATTCATAATGGAAGTATTTGCCCACAATTCTAGGAAGCTGTCTGAATTCATTACTTGAGTAGCTGGTTTAAAAATCCCCCATGCCCCAGTTGCTGAATGGCAGGCAGCAAACTGAAAGAGCAAAATCTAAAGTGAAAGAGACAGAAAAAGAAGCAAACCAGAAGGGAGGATAAAGGAGAGAAGCGGGGGGCCGCAATCTGCAGCGAGACACACCTTTCTTGGATCGTCTCGGTTTCGGCGGTGGAACGGGGCGACGTGGAAGCTGTGCGTGTGTGCGAGTGCCTTAATGGAGTTTTAGAAAGGAAAACCAAATAATAATAATAATAAAAAAAGAAACACAGATGTAATTTTTGAGAGCAGCAGACCACATAAAGTAGACAATGAAAAGCCAGTGGAGAGCTATTTAACACATGAGAGCCAGTGAGCAGCTGACACAGCAGTGACAAGTGGAAGTGAAAAGGTTAAACCATCTGCAACAGCACAGCTCTGGGTACAAAGCAGGAAACAGAAGCAAAGTGTTAGCTTGATTCTGTTCGGTTGCTTGCCACAGAGACTTTGCCTCCCATTTCATTTTTAGACTCCTGCAATGGTTACTATTACCTTATTAGCAGAAAGAACATAAGAACATATTCAATATTTTGGGCCAATTTTAAATCAACCTAAAACCAACTGTCAGATGTTCTCCAGAAAATGAAGACATCAACAGAAGGATTGAAAATGACAGATATTTTAAAGTCACTTTTCAAAACATTGAAGTTTTGCAACAATTGTGCTGCCATTTTCACTTCCCACTCAAACATGAACAGGGATGATATAATGAGTAAAATATTAGCATTTACATCATCAGTAACAGACAACCAAATCACCTTTAAATGGCAAAACAACAGAACTAATACTGCTGTGTTGGGGGAAAATGTCTGACTAACACAGTCACATACCTATCTTCTCTATGGAAGCTGCTGTGGATAAGAAGCCCTGCTGCAGCAGCTGCTGCCGGGTCTCCTCATCCTCCACTTGGATCTCAGACACCATGTTACATGGCACATAGCCCAGACAACCGCCTGACTCTCCTCGATAGAACCCATCTGCATCTTTATCTCCATAAACCTGAAGGAGGAGGAAATGTATCAACTAAAATGAGTTGTTTTAACTGATGGCATATAGATTTTATACAGGTCAGCATTACATTAATACTCTAGAATGAAATGGGTGCATTAAATGTCCCTCTAATGTGCAAGCTGCATTATCCTCTGAGCTACAATTTGCACAACCAACATCAAAATCAGCCTTTTTAAAATACATTTTCAAATCTTTGCAAATAAAGATAAAAACCAAACAATGTTAAAAGGATGAATTACATTCAGGCCTCATTAAAGCCATAATCACTTCTTGTTATGAAACCTTCAGCAGCGTGATAATTACTTTAATCTGTGGTTTCCACTATTTCAGTATGCAGATTTCTGTCACTCTGTTGCAAGACAAGCAGGCCAGCAGTTTTTTGGTTAATGCTCCCTAGCGTGTTAGCTCATGTAACCATAACCTAAACTAATGGGGATGATAACAAAGAAGGCTTTAAGGCTTGTGAATAACCCACAGCAACCCTGGCAACTATACAAACATGCAGATTGAGCTGCATGTCTAAAACAGGAATGCTGTGAAATCAGAACATGCTGAGCCATCAGGGCCTGAGCAGTGTGTGGACATACTTTGATGATTTGTCCTTCGCTGAAGGGAAGCTCCTCCTCAGCAGCGTCAGGATTGGGTGACATACTGGCAGGGTCATATGAAAAGAGGGCCACAAAGATGCGTATGTCACTGTCTCCTTTCGTCTTTGGTGATTCCACACCACCTGCGCGCGCGCACGCACACACACACACACACACACACACACACACACACACACACACACACACACACACACAAATATGATTAGAAAATTGCTCTAATATATACAAATAGTTATAAATATCCAGAATATTACAGATTAAATATATTCTGTAAAACTTTGTTATTTTACTGTAGTTGTACAGGGAGATATGCATAGGCACGAACAATTTTCCTATCTTGGACAACATCCGCCTATCCGACACCTTAAGGGAGTCCAGCTCCATCCCCACAACATTATGGCCAATCAGTCTGTTGGCATCTGCGATCCTCAATCTGCTCCCCCGACATGCTAAAGCTCTCTAGATGGCACTGGCTACAACAGACTCATAAAAACAGTTGTTGAAAGACTTCAGCCGGCTCAGAAAATAGAGATGACACTGGACCTTCCTGTAGAGTGCAGTGGTGCTTTTAACCCAGTCCAGTTTATTATCTATGTGTACTACGAGGCATTTATAATCCTCCACAGTGTCCATATCGACCCCCTGGATTGAAACTGGGTCACAGGTTTCCTGGTCTTTCTAAAGTCCACAATCAATTCTTTGGTCTTTGTCACGTTGAGCTGCAGATAATTCAGCTCGCTCCACGGGACAAGGGAGTCAACCGCACACTTGTATCATTAAATGATACCAACAGTGTACATAACTCTCATTCTGAATTAGTTACTTTGTGGAAGTATTTCCCTTTAATCCCATGCAATTTATTTTATAGGTATTAAGATGCAATTCTCTCTTACTATTATAATATTGGCTATTTCAACACAACAGAGTTTGCAGAGCAGCCGTGCTTAGCTTGCAATGAATTCTGCAAATAGAACTGCAAGCTTGCACCTCCCCCACTGCCCACCAACTGCGTTGCCATGAGCAGCGTTCGCCTAGCACTGGCATGTCCTTAAAAGAGGTAATCAAGCTAAACCACTGATCCTAAGCTGTGTGAGCCATTTGACAAACGTGCACACGCTCACAAACTCCAACTGTGGAATAAGGTGTCTGACCCACTCTCCAGTTTAACTTTCAACACCTTTACTTGCAGACCAAACCTAACATGTAAAAAACAGTCCTAGTATAATTTTAGAGGTGCTTTTAATACAGTGCAAACTACGCAAAGCAGGCAACAGATACGCACTATTGCACAAAAGATTCCAGCAGTGTGATTAAAAGCACTGCCACTGAAGCCTATGTGACAGCAAGAGACAAATTTGAAGAGCTGTAGTGAGGCTTTAAGCTGCACTCAAGAGATGCGTTCTCTATCTCATTAGAGAGAATCAGCCCATCTGTGGCAAGAGTCACGGGCAGACGACTCGCACACTTTCACATCCTCACTGATTTTCTAGTAGATAGAACAGAACTTCTCCCTAAGCCCTTCCTCTTATCTGTGCACGTGTTCACTTGCGCATATATGTGTGCAGTCAACTGTGTATTTATCAGAACAGCCAGGTTTGCTAACTCAAAGGGCAACTTGTTGAATCAACAATGGGAAGCAAGTGAGACGAGATCTGGAGGAAAGAAGAGAAAAGCAGAGGGGTGTGTACGTCCAAACTGCGAGCCATTTCTCTGCTGGCTAATCGAGGTTACTATTTTAATGTCTGTCACTTCCTCCTGTCATGACAAGCCACTTTAGGTTAAGCCGGTTCTCAGCTTAGCGGCCTCTCTCTCTCTCACTTCACTCCACTGCAGCTACAGCACCTCCTTCTCCCTAAACCCCCACCCCACCCCCCTCCTTCCTACACAAGGTGCTAATCTGACTACCTCCATGTGAGAGAGGGGGAGGTTTGCCAACAGAAACCACAGGTGTGTCAGCACCGTCTCACACCCACTGTTTTCGGTTAAGAAAAGAGAAAGCAATGAGAAAGAGGGGAAGCACAAACACGAAAGGGGAAAAGGCCTCTGACCTTTGAGATTCCTAGCCTGCAAGCATGCGGGTTTACAGGAAAGCTCTGCTTGGCCTCTCCATGATGGACGTGCTTCAGCTGGAGGGATCTGGCTGACCTCCTGCTCAAGAATCAAAAAAGAGAAAAGAAATATGAGGTATGATGTTTAAGCACTACATGGGAGGAGAGGAAAATTATTAAACTGTTTCTTATTGGAGCAGAGATCAGAGTCACATCTAATATATAACACACTCCAGGGTATTCTACATGCACGCAACATAAGCATATTATTTTCTTGCACTGCAGCAGTATTAGCAGACGCACACCCACGCACCAAAGCACACTGACTGTAAACGAATGCAAGACAAGGCAGTCTGGACTAGTTTAAAACACAGAGATGGGGTTTCAATGTGCAGGAGAATAGGAAAGCAGCAGGAATGAGTGCAGTCACGCAGAGGGGGAACATTAGCTGAATCCACTCGGTAGCAATGTATTGTGTGTAGCCATGTATTGGCAAAGTCTATTGAGTGGGAGGGTTATGAGTTTTCCTCTAAAGAGCTCAAGGGTTGATTAGCACAACTACAGAGGAGAGGATGGGTCTGGGACGGCACACCAGCGGACCAACATTTACCAGCGGATCAGCCTTCGGCCCTCGGCGCTGAGGAGGTCTGCTGTGCTCCATTTGGGCCCCCTCTACCCACCATTCAGAGCTCATCTGCTGCACCACCACCTCCCTAGGAGTATATTCCACAGGCTCCTCATTGTCATCTGTACCGTACTCAACATCAATCTCCACCCCATGACTAATGGGTGACTTCATAGTTCGTACTGTTTTGCTGACTGGGTAGGGTCTTGGTGGGGTAGGGCCATCACCGGGGTTGGCCGCAGCGGCAACGGCCATCTGACTCCTGAGCATGGCCTCCCTCCTAAGGCGGTCACCTAGCCCTCGAAGCAGTGTTTTGTCTTTGCTAGTGTGGGTTGGCCGAGGAGGACAGTGGGCAGAGACCCGTCTGTTGGCAGGACCCTCATATAAACTTGTGTCTTCTGCTTCCGGATAACTGACGGTGTCCACCGTTTCTGCATAGTGTACTCTGTGCTGTGTCTTAGGCTTGACCTGCAAGGCCCCGTGTTTGGGTAAAGGCTCTTTAATTAGGGATCTGGGTTCCTGGTTGAGGTGGTGATGGTGAGGGGGGATTTGTGGGTGTGGGTTACGGTGATGTGGAGGGCCAGGATGGAGGTGTTCTGGGTTTCTGGAGTGGAGGTGGGTGAGCTGTGGCTGATGCTGGCTGCGGCGACTTAAATGCTCTTCTTGACAGCTGTCCTCCTCCTCTGTCATCTCGGGGATGCTGAACAGCTGCTTGTTGGGGTAGACATAAGGAGGCAACTTAAGGATCTTTTCAAGAACTTCCTCATCACTGTCTGGAGCCTCCAACTTACACAACTGCAAGGGCCACAGTTTTATTCATACAAGATTGGTTCGGTGAAGGTAGGATGGAACATTATAATGTTCAGTGAAAATAAAGCAAGTGCAGACAAAACGGATGAGAACGCCACCATGAAGAAGGAAGAGAAATGAAAGAGGAAGGAAAAAACCAAGAATCACAATCAGACACAATCATGATTCCAACAGAAGAAACAAGGCCTCAAAATGAGAACTAAACTCTGGAAGAAAAATTAAAAGAAGCATGTTTCATTTAAAAAGCAGAACTTGGAAAGTATCTCTGCAAACAAGCATGTGTATAGCTGCGGTCATAGTACGAAATAATTTCTTTACCCTGTTAGCTCCAATTGTGCATCCCCTTGCCTGTACTTCACCGAGGTGGTCAGAGTAAAAGTCCTCTTCCTCTTCTTCCAGGATGTCTGACAGATCTGAGTGGCTGTTGTCTGCATGGTAGTCACTGGGAGGTTCAACAATCCCTCTGACATAACTCTGAGGAAACATTACATCATGCACAGAATGAAATAATATCTATGCATCACAGCTTGAAAGGGCGCAAACGATTGCATATACAAGACTAGAGCATGGAAGGTGTTTATATGGCCTTGGCTCCATGCATCAACGCATCAATCAATATGTTCAATATGGTCTTAAATTTGCAGCCAATTTATTAACTTTTAATTATTTAGGGCTTCTTAATAAGTGCGTAAAACAAAAAACTTGACATGTTGAGAGTTGATGTTGTTCTTCTACTTTCTGCAACTCCCTTTAGGGCTCACCACAACAGATCACCTGCCTCCATCTCACCCTACACCTACTATCCTCTTCTGTCACACCAGCCACCCTCTTCGTGTCCTCTTTAGCCACATCCATGAACATCATCTTGGTCTTCCTCATTTTCTCCTACCTGGCAGCTCCATCTTTAACATCTTTTGTCCAATATGTCCACTATCCCTCCTCTGCACATGTCCAAGCTACCTCAGCCTTGTCTCCACAACAATCCCACCTCCGTCTGATAGACATATATCCAATCTTGTATATTCTGGCCACTCACAAAAACATCTTAGCACCTTTAACTCCGTCACCTCCAGGTACACGTCCTGTTTATTTTAAAGTCTGCATATATGAAACACTTTCTATTGGTTGGTTATGGAAACTACAAGTTGTGAGTCTTGATGCATGCTCAATCATCCAGATAAGGAAATCTCAAAAAGTTGATTCTGTTCATTTGCACAAAGTGTTTTCAATGGAAGAAACGTTTCGCCACTCATCCAAGTGACTTCTTCAGTCTCCACAAGTTTGGAGTATAAAAAATATCTGTAGCCTACGACTTCTTGAGTAATACAACAGAATCTCAGGCTAAGATGTTGACTGCTGAGTGTCTTTGTGGGTAATGTTGCAATGGCAGAGCAATATCCTTTAAATGCCTTATTCCTTCAAATCTGATTTCACCAAGTATGACATATAATCTACACTGAAGTTAGGTGCACCTCTGAATACCTAAACTATAATCAGATTCAATAAACAGACACTTAGAGTACATGTTACATTTAATTTTGTAGTAAACAGCAATAACCCAGTTAAAACAAGGCTGACCTGTTGCCTCCTGCAGTACACTGGGTCTTGGTCCTGTGTCAGGAACTCCTCGATGGACACCAAGCGGGTATTTTCATGCTCCTCCTCTACCTCTGACTCCAGAGGAGAAGTGCTGGGGGGACGGATGAGGTTAGTGTCCTGAGGGTTAAGGAGATCTGTAATTGGGGCTTTGGGTGGTGTAGGGATGCGTTCAGGGGTCCCAAGCTTGGCACTGGGGTCCTCGATGAACTCTGTGATAGATGGGAATGGACGTATAGTTCCAGGGCTGTCGGTGTCTCTGTGCTGCTCCAACACAGGTGCTGCTGCTGCCACTGATGGAGCCTGAGCAGGTGTCGGTGACGCTACTGGAGATGGCTGAGGTGCTGAGTTGGCCGGGGAGGTCACATTAACCTGGAAATGGAAAAAAATAGTCAGACAAAGGTGTTTATTATTCTGTCTGTCAAAAAGGACAGGACGCCTCAATCTAGCGTATTATTTACACTTTGGCAAACTGCAGCCATTAACAATATGCTGGATTATCTAGTCAAGTCAAGTCAAGAAAGCCTTTATTTGTCACATGCAAGTTGCCCCAGACATCACATGGGGAGACAGGTCGGAGACCGGTAGTATTATGGAAAAACACTGAAATGTACAATACAATGGGCAAGACGAGGAGGGGGAAAAAGAGACCTCTACTCATGCTGGGCTCCTATGGGGGGACAGCATGAGAACAGAAAACAAACAAACCTCCTCTGCACAAAGAGCACATAAATGTCCACAGCACGACATCATGAAGCATGCGACAAGCAACAGGGGTGGGTAAGGAGTGAGAAGTAAGCCGATGCAGACGCAGCGATCCTGCCCTGCAGCTATTCATCCAGCGCTGGGCCCAGACCCGCCATCTGACTTGGCCTTGGAGATAAGCGTATGAGGGTGTTTGGAACAAAGAGTCTAAACACAGTTTGTCATCAGGGGAGAAATTGTTTGTTATGTTCACCTCCAGCCTTGAGACCACAGCTGGGACCGATGTGGTAGCAGCATGAAATAATGGTGGTGTTCTTGCTTTAGTATGAACCACTGCATGTCAATTTTACAGTCAATCTAATGTCCATCACTGGTTCCTCACCATTCTCGTTGGAGAGCCGTGAGCCTCTCCACGATGTTATCAAGCTACACCGAGATGTTATCCAGTTTGCTCATAGAGCATAAGTGTTCACGACAGCTGTGAGCCTCTCCAAGATGTTGTCAGATGTTGTCAGAGTCTCAGCACTCACAGCAGCTGCAAGCTTCTCCAAGATGTCATCCGTGCTGCGTCTAATGAGCCCATTCTCGCTCCATCATTCCAATCAACATAGCGGGAAGCCTTGTGGGGATTTGAACAGCTGTCCCCGCTTTCTTTATTCTTTGATAAGCCAGGGCCAAGCCAGGGCCAAGCCAGGGCCAAGCCAGGGCCAAGCCAGGGCCAAGCCAGGGCCAAGCCAGGGCCAAGCCAGGGCCAAGCCAGGGCCAAGCCAGGGCCAAGCAAGGGCCAAGCCAGCGCCGATCAGCAAGAACCCTGTTATCATGATTCCAAAAAGACAGATGTCTTCAATGGGCTCTCCCGAACCCAGGCTTCTCGTCGAGAAGAGTGTGTCATTTGCATTCAGGGACCAGTTGATCAAATCCATAATTCCTTTTTTAGGTTTTAGAAAACAGACTCTGAGACTCTTCCAGGGTAGAGGGAGAGAAGCAGACAAGACTAGACAGAGACATGAGAAAGCCAAGCAGGAAAGATAAGGGAAGGGAGAGGGAGAAAGTGCGACCGCCTTTGTCAAGAGCCAGAGATATCTATTAGTGGTTACAAACAAATTGTGAACTCATGTAGTGAAGGTAAAGTGCTACAGTTCCCTTTAGGCACCTATTGTGCTTTTCCTTATTTTGTATGATATAAACACTGCTGCAATGATTGATGCTCATATTACACATGGCTTCAGTTGAATTAATGATGCATGTAATTCATTTTTAGTCTTTATTTTGGCTCCATATAAAAGTGGGGAAATTCATGTGTTCCAGCAGCACAGTCCAGAGGCAGATGGAGCATGAGGATTCACACAAAAGTTAAAATAAAAAACAAGAAATGTGCAGTGTGAAGGCCAAATTTGGAAGATAAGAAAAAAAGAATACTGTACAGTTATATATAGTATAGTTAAAAATAGCATACTCAGATTCAAAGAAATGCACAGCTAAGTAGGATAATTTTTTAAAAAGATATACAAAAAGTGCTGTGAAAAATCTGCTTTATCTCCTAGGACCTGTCCATGTGGACATCACATTTTGGGTTGTCTAGACCAAAATGCTAAATTTTGCTCTATGAGGGCCTGATATCCACTAACGAGGACATTATACTGCCACTGTTCTATCGAAAATTAAAGCAAATGTCCTCATATGTGGATCTCATTTTTCTCAGAAACAAAAATCTGATTTAAAAAAATTCACGTAATTCTTTGTTTTTACATTCACCAGGTCCCAATCAGGCCAAATAGCAAAGAGAAATTAAAAATGCATGCCATGAAAGAGTTTGGGTCTTAGGAGGTTAAAACAACAATGACAGACTGTTTACAGGAAATTGAAAAACTGCGTATCTATTACTATCACCTTCAAGGGGCTCTCATATATAGGAGGATGGAAGAGTATGGCTCACCACTGGGGTAATGGTGGAGGCTACAGATAATGTGACCTCGCCAACAGCCAAGGCAGCAGCAGATGAAGGGTTGGCCCAGGCCTTCACGTATGAGGAAGACGAGAGTTCTTCTGAACGGAGGGCAGAAGGTGAGTTGGCAGCAGCCTCCACTGTGAGGCCAGTGATATGTATCTCTGATGGCAAAGAGCTGTGCAGCGTGGACACTTTGGCAGCAGAGTTTCCATAGGATGGTGAAGGGGGCAGGTTACTGGGACCTACTGGAGTACAGGGCAGAGGTGGCAGAAGTGGGGCAGTGACAGCCGGGCCTGCCATGATGGCAGCCAGCTTTGAGGGCACATTAACCGGCAGAGAGTCACAGGACTCCCCATGGGCGGATGTGGTGCGGACAGTGAGCTCCTGAGCTGCCAGCAGGGAGTGGATCTGAGAGGGACCCAGGAGGGCACTACCAGCTGTTGGGGAAGACACCTCAAGCACCTTGGATAGAAGAACGATAATCAGACTTTGGTTAAATATCTGAATACTGTCTTAAAATCAAGATTACAATTTTAAGTTTAAAACAGACATGAAGTTCTTGCCTTCTTTGCGTCAGCATATATAGTGTATCCAGTTACACGGACTCCGTTGGAGGTCCCTGCAGCATCTATAGTGACTGGTAGCCAGCTGATGAGAGCAATTCCAGGAGATGGACCATGCTCCAGCTGAACATCCAGAGGAGCATCGGGGGGGCCTGCAGAGATTTAAAACATCACAGCAAAATAAAGAGAAGCATGTCAAAAACTGAACATAGGACTGAGTAAATGACTCATACTGAAAATACAAAGCTTTGGAGGAGGAATAATGTTTACTATGGGGACATGTTTCTACCAAGAAAGTTGCCATCTATTACTCTAATGGCCACTAGAAAACCATATACCTGAAATCCCAGACTGAGGGCATGGAACTTAAGCAAATTTGAAGGATCATTTGGAGAGATGCAACTCAAATATATATCACACTGATGATTATACATTATATAGCGTAGTTCATTTCTGAAATCTTAAATACTATTGCCTGGCAAAACGGTACCAACTTCATATGAGTCCATAATTAAAAACACAAAGCATGAACAGTGACTATACTAACATACTATTGTAAGCTTACTTATTTACAAGAGTAAATAAATCCACAGGATCTTTGAAACCTCTCTTCCCTTCACTGTTAACATAATGTAGAAATCAGTAGAAATACTGATATAAAAATGATGCATTGCTTCACGCTGCATTTTCACACTGTCTTTATTTTGCTTACAGTCTTGATTTTCATCTTCATTTGGGTTGCCTGTACCAGCAGTACAGTCATGGGAGGTGTTCCCTACAATCATTAATTATGTAACTCTCTCACCAATTTGATGGGGACACGTTGCCAAGAGCAAAGTGACATGTACATATGATTAGACTTAAAAGTCTTAAGGAAGCTGGCTTGATAAATTATCTAGCCAAAGCTCTGGTAAGATGTTGCAAAGATTCAGGAAAACACAGACAAATAAAATGATTTGAAAGGTCTTGAGTTCATTATACAAGTTCAGATTAAATAATCATCTTACTGGATATATGCGATGATTTGTCTGAGTTTATAGAGGTATAGAATTAATCTGCAAAAACCCCCATCTTTGAGTCTGAACGAACCTTACATGTGTTCCATTTACACACGTCCATCTTAAATGCTTTTACCACGTGTGATACCGGAAATCGTGACAAGCCGTCAGAAAGATAAAAGAGTAAGTCCTGACCTGCCATCAGTGTGGTGAAGGTGATCGTTGCACTTCTGTGTTCACGTCGCTCCACGGGTAACTCCCATGGCGTGCGGTGTGGCCGTGCCTCCACTTTGACGGTGTACTGCAGGCTGGGCAATAGGTTATTGAGGCACAGCGAGTAGCAGCCAGCCTTCACCAGCTCACACTCCTCGTCATTCAAGGACACAATGTGCACATAGTTACTGTTGCTGGGCAGCCAGGTCAGGTTGGCATTGGTAGCAGTGATCCTCTCCACGCGCAGTTGCGTGGGCGCCACGGAAACGTCCCGACCGACCAGCATGCTGCAGCGGAGCTGGTCCGAGAGACCCTTCTCTGTCAGGCTTTGGACCGACACACGATAGGCCTTGAGGTTTATGTCTAGCCGCTCCAGCACTGCTTTGGTCTGGGCACCGAAGGGCACATTGAGCCGCAGCTCCTGGTCCACATACACATTATAGCTCCACACATTGCCCCACCCAGCCGGCACCAACGGAGGGTCCCAGCCGATGATGATACTCTTGGCAAGCTGCTTGATGAGGGTGAGCTTACGTGGGTAAGGCACAATGTCCACTCCCACCTCTTCCAAGTCCAAGTCTAGGCCGTTGGTGAGGGGGGCTGGGACAGCCAAGGCTGATGCTGAATCTGAGGGGGCTGAGGCAGGGCCAGAGGCAGCAGAGGCCTCTGTCCTCTCTGAGGTGCTGACACCCACGTGGAGACGATGCTGGTGGATGGCACTGTGCAGGCTGCTGTCTATCAGCGAGTTATGGGACATGTCCACCATCTCTGGGTGATGAGTGCTCATGACATCGTCGTCTGAAACACGTTCCACAAAGTTAGAGGGGACCAGCCCTCTCCGTCCGTCCATCAGTTCGCCTGAAAGGAGCCACCATAAAACACTGTCCTACAGACCGGAAAGTAAAGATTTGTAGATTTACAAAAAAATGACAAGATCCCATACCTTCATAGAAGCCATCATCATCCATGTCTCCATATACATAGATGTATTCTCCAGCAGTGAGTGGTAGCTCCACCTCAGGATTGTCATTGGGACCATCATAAGGATTATAGCTGGGGGAGATAAAAATTTTCCATGAAATCGTTTCCATCACATACTTTCATGTTCACCAGAACAACCCCTGTGTTAGTTAATTACTTACCTGTATCTTGCAATAAACACCTGAAGCTTTGCTGCTCCTCTGCTGGCTGGGCAAGGTGCTGGGGCTATGTCAATGTCCAACTCCTCTACTTCACTGGCTGTGTCCACCTGAGAACAGCATGAACAGAGAGACAGTCACCTGACATATCTAAAAAGAACAGGCTAAAAGTAAAGTAAGAGCAAAGTTAAATGGTTTTTAGTCTTTAGTAATAAAGTAAATCTATAGGACTGCAGTTGCAATAAAAGTGAGGTAACTAGGATGACCAAGCACTGTGCTGTAAGTGCCACAATTTGCTACGTACACAAATCAAAATCTTCTGCAAGCTAACACAATGGTCCTGGAACAAGTCTTTCCCTATAGGTCAGATATCTTTCAAAGTTTATTACAGAGAGGTGTTTTAGAAGCTGTTTCTACTGCTTAATTTACTCCATTTATTGTTGCGGCTGACCTAAACAAGTGAATTTCTTTAGTGGAAATTCTTAACCTATTTTAGCCAGCATGAACTCTTTCTTCTGTATCAAGATGTCCTTTATTTTCTTGCCAAAAGGAGAGCACATTTCACGAGTATGATATGCTTTACACATATTATCTTAAAAGGCCACAAGATAAAGCCATGCCTGTTTGGAAATGACTGCAAAGAAAATCACTTTGTTTGCGAGTGACTTTTTGCCCTTTTTATTGAATACAAACAGGAACAGAACTACTACAGAGCTAGTTAATACCTGGTATAAATGGCTACCTGCAAGAAATAACAGCACTTTTTAAGGATAATCACAAACAACTACTGTATACCCTTTATAATCCACAGAGCTGAGTGGATTATCTCACTAAATATGAGCTCTATTGATTGTATGCAGTCGAGTGACTGGATAAAAAGACCACCAAGCTGCATAGCATGCAGGACCACACACCGGCAGGACAAACATGCTAAATATTTTGGAGCAAAACCAAAATACTCCACTGGACTCTTCTGTTACAGTGTGCACTAACGTGAGATGACAACAAGTTTAAGGAGAGCTTTTTAATCCATTAAATCCATGCAAACAGTGTAGTAATCTCGATCTGCTTTCATGTGTGCCGAAACAAAGAAGGAGAATATCAGGATGAAGAGATGAAGTGCTTCAAACTAGGGCTGCCACGATTAGTCGACTAGTCACGATTACGTCGACTATCAAAATCGTCGACGACTGATTTAATAGTCGACGCGTCGTTTGAAGCTTTGTAAGATCACAAAAGACGCAGGAATAAGTGGCAGGATTTAAGAGTGTAATAACGGACTGGAACAGAAGATGGCAGCACAGCATGTACAAGGATGCCAGCTGCCGTTAAACCCCGAAGAAGAAGAAGCAGTTTCCCAGAATTCATAGCGCGGCCCAGCTCAGTTTCCAACAATGGCGGCAGCTAGTTAGTTTTAATATTACTCTTATTATTCTTTCTGGGTCACAAAATAAACGTTTAACATATTTTCAGGCGAGAATGTAGCTGTGTAAACCTCAAATATCTGCTCAGTTTATCAAGACACCACATATTTTCAAAAGCGCGCCGACGTTTTCGGAGACGTCTGTTACCCACTAGCTCGATAGTTAGCCGGGGGCTAGGCTAACTAGAGCCGTGAGAACACCGGACTCCCGGCAAATCGTTTTCAAACCCACCGCCGTCTTTCGCTACTTAGGTTAAATATATATGAGTCACTTAGATAACTTAAACATGTTATTGTTTGGCTTTTTTTAGTATTTTATTTGTTCCTGAGGAAATCGGTTTGGCTGAGATTAAAGTTTTTACACAGCTGAATAAACGTCAAGCAGACAGCTGATTATCAGAAGTGTGAGATGCTCAAGAATTTACTCCGGTGTCCTGTTATATTTTAGATAGCAAGGAGTTTATTAAACTTCACCAAAACAATCTGCAAATTTCATTAAAATTTTATAAACTATCATCTTGTCTTTATTTTTAGTTAGCACATACCTTAAACACTTAAAGCTGTAAGCTAATGATAGTTATATAAGAGCAGATGCTGCTGGTGCAATAAGCTGTACGTTTTACGTCCAATGGATGATGATCTGATTAGTCGACTAATCGCAAAAATAATCAGTGACTAGTCGACTATCAAAATAATCGTTTGTGGCAGCTCTACTTCAAACTAACCTATCAACCGTTAGGCTAACTTACTAGATACAGATGGTGGTTTTCAAATGTAGCAGCCACATTAGCTAATGGTGTCAGCTTTAAAACAACTTTACTGTATAACTATAAATTATATTTCATGTAAGACTGTGTTGAAATTTCACATATTTATATCATATTACCATTAATATATGAACCATGTATAAAATAAACAAAAAAACACAAAATGCATGAAAGCATTTTTTCTGATTTGAGAAAAAAGTGATGTACTACACATCGTCTTCACTGCTGGTACCTCGTGAGTTGGGCTTGATTTGTGCGGACTGAGATGGGTGTCAGACTTGGGCGTGAGGTGCGTGGTCTCTGACTTGCTAGAGGAAGAGCCTGACTTGCTGACGCTGATGGTGGGCAGCTCTCGATGCTTGGTGACAGGCGATCGCTCCACCCTGGATAGCCCTGCAGCATGAGGGGTGGCCCCCATGCGTAGTGCAGTGGCCACATCTAGCAAGAGAGAGAGAGGCAGAGGATAATCCACCATCTAGTGAACATACATCAGCCCTCTTACTGCATAACCTGGTTGAATCCACGAGCAGCTAGGCATGTGAAGTCACTGGTTGACATGCAGGGGGCTCAAGGCCTGAACATGGCTGATTAAAAAGAGGAAGGAAAAAAAGTCCTATCTCCATCTGTCAGTGGTCACACTATAAAGACAACATGTTTCACACGAGGACTGTTAAGAGACTTAACGTGCTCCATGCTCCACACACTGACTGTCTCATGCTATGGTGAGAGTAACAGATCAGCTCTGTTACGGTGCTGGACTGTTAACGGTGACCGTGCAGGTAAGATGACAGGTCAACGCATGCGGTGCTTTTGTAACACTGTCCAACACATATTATGAGTAACAGAGACGGCGGGCATACCAAGTGGGTCATTGCCCTCGGGGCAGGAGACAGTGTCACCTCCCTCGAGACTCCAAAAGGCTATTTCACCTAGAGTCACCATATCCCATGAGCCACCAGTGCAGTCTAAAACACATGAACATTGTAAGAGAAAAGGGTTGGATATACACAGTAGGAAAGAGTTGGTCTAGATTTGCACTATGTATTTGTTGCTGCTGGGATTGAGGTTACATTATAACACACAAAGGTGGAAAAAGAGAGAATGTCACATTAAGAAGAAGGACTGGGTATTGTGTATTGTGTCCTTATTGTTCAGAAGTCAATGATAAAATATCTCGAAATTAAAATCTGGAGAGATGCATTCCTGATCATTATATATATGGATAATTTTAAAGAACTCTTTTCTATAAGTGGCTCAGTGCTCTTTACCAAGCCATCATCTGTGTCCACTACACCAACTACGATTCTATAACATGAAAGCAAAATTATTGTTAAACAATGATTTGGCAAATTATCTTGAAACAAGACATAGTAAGTCAGATTGTTTGATTTTCCTTTTGGTCATTAAGCAAGTGAAGTGAAGCAACCACTTACCTCGCTCTGTAGTCAGGCCCACCCCGTTGGTCAGAACCGACAGGGTGGGGTTGTTGAGGAGGCTAGAGCTGGCCAGGTCCACCTTTGAGGCCTGCATTCGAAACTTCTCCAACTCTTGGGACAGCAGGCCAAACTGTTCGCTCTGGCTTCGACATTTCTCCTCCAGCTCTCGTACCTTCGACTACACAGAAGGCAGAACCAATATAATGCACACAAACAGTGCCAGTGTGACTTGTGTGAGAGAAAATCCACCTTTCAACACTATTAGATGTGATGTCCTCAATTTGTTAACCAGGTCATTTCAGGTGGAACTGTGTGATGTGTTACCATACTTTAGGTTTCTTCTGGACACACTTTAACCTGATGTCTACAAGCGAATGAGCTTTGCCTAAGTTAGCAGTACAGTGTGTGAATGTTGGGATGTGAGCGGTAAGGTGGATTTTTCCTTTTAATCAGCAATCTATCACCGTCAGTGTCCTGCAGAAACCTTCAATGCAATTAAATCAATTTCCTTAGAAACTATGGAAAAGCTTTTTATGATTAGGGCCACCAGTGTGTGAATGTGTGTGTGAATGGGTGAATGACTGAATGTAGTGTGAAGCGCTTTGGGGTCCTTAGGGACTAATTAAAGCGCTATACAAATGCAGGCCATTTACTTTTGATACATCTGATTTCTTATGTTTATGACTGTTTTGAAAGATGGACAAATAGGACAACAAAATGTGGCAAACACAAATGAATGCATGAAATAACGTAATCCACAACGCAAATATGGGTTTCTGCAAGACAGACAATGTTACAAGTCCCTACATCATTTGTTAGAATCTGCAAAGACAAATGACAAAGACTGGCTGGGTAAATGGAAAGGAAAAAGGGAGGCAGGCAAAGGGGGAGGGGAAACTGGAGTAAAGTATTTATGAGGTGTTACATGTTGCTTCCATTTAACACTCGGCTTGCAATCACTTTTATGACAGCGGGGTAATTTGGCAGAACACTACTTGCTTCTGTCTTACTGGGTTTCTAAATGTAGCTGATTTCACTTCCGGTTGCGGTGGGAGTTTCCTGGCAGGCTGATCTGACAAAAGCCTTCACACGAAAGTGTCTGAACAACATTTCCTGTTAGTGCTCACCTACGCAAAGCCTGTAGTCGATTCTTATCTAGCTGCACTGAGCTGGGGGGTAATGAGTATTAAAACACTGACGCAAATCATTTGTAAAACCTCAGATGAATACTATCAGAAATTTACCAAATTTCCCGGAGGAACCCACCCGAGGGATTAATAAAGTTTTATCTAATCTAATCTAAATGGCAATGAGACTATTTGCGTACATGGAATAAGATTAAACAACCCGATAATTGTAGTAAGTGCTGTCAGTGCAGCTGGGAGTGATAAATGTGTTATACACATACACTAACCCCTAACCCTACACCCCATATGAATGACCTGATTTAAATGCAAATCGGTAACCATAAAAAAAATAAATAAATAAAAGAGAAACGCAACAGCCTCAGATGAGCAACTGTTCACAAGTGAAGCATTTCTGAGGGGCTGTTTTACACTAATTAATGTTGAATAGAGTTCCATCAATTTCAAGGAACTAAATAAAAGCAACTGGGGTTTTGGTGGTTCTAAGGACCAGGGCTGGGTGGAGGTCCTGTTGAGGAGAAGATAAAAAGCTCTTGAACACGAGGTTCAAGAAATACCTGCATGCAGTCCAGTGTACTCTGCTTAGCAAAAAAGGCACAAAGCACAAAGAAAAGATGCAAATGCATGTGTGTGAAGCACTGAAACTGGAAAAGACTAAATTAAATATTAATAGAGTAGAAACACAGCAGTCAGAGTCCAGGTCAGCAAGGAAATCCGCTCACAAGCCAGAATCACTAGAATGTCTCTCAGCCCATAGCAGCCCACACACACACACACACACACACACACACACACACACACACACACACACACACACACACACACACACACACCTCATAATCTAGCAAAAACTGTTTTTTAACAGAGTGAGTAAGGCTGGGTGTTTTGTTGGCAAGTAAAACATGGGCTCTTGGGAGGGAAAGAGACTTTCTCCTGTGATGCTTTGGTTTAAATACAGACAGAAAGTGAGAGAAACACAGCCAAGAGGAAGGAAACTAGGCATTTTGAAAACAGAGCAACTATACTCTACCAGCTCTCTCCGCAACACGAGCTGAGTCAACTCCTAAAATAAAATACACACTGCTTTAAGTAACAAACTCTCGCAGCAAAATGAACCGTGAGAAATAAGGAACACAGACAACAGGAATGTAAAGTCATCAACTGTGGATGATGACATTTTTGATTTTTTCCCTCCTTTTTTAGTTTCTTTTTTTTTAATGTTCAGCATCAGCAGCCAATCAGAGGCAGGGGGATTTCAACTGTCATCTGCTATCTGGATTCATTTTGAATTCTTACGCTGACACAGAGAGCAAGCACAAACGTCACAAAGCAGCAGAAGAGCCATCTGCATCTGTTCAAACGGTTTTCAGGCCTACTAGAGCTACAAAAATATAAGTACTTTCTGCCACAGCTTCTCAGCCAGGTGTTTAGATAAGAATAAAGATCCCAGTAAATTATAATTCCAGGCTTCTTTAGAAGAATGAATCGTCTTTTGACCTACTAAAAAAAGAATGAAATGTCTTTAAACCTACTAAAAACCTGGTGAGAATTTTGCTCTGTTTTAAAAGACAGAAACACTTTATTCAGTGAATTTAAGCTGAAAGGAATACATTAGTGTATGTCACATAGAGACATTTTTTCTTGTTACTCTTTAATGCTTCACTCTTTTGTGGGACACTGCCAGCTTTGGATTTGATCCTAAGTCCTCCTAAATGCTTGAAAGCACCTCAGGGCTATGCAGTCTGGCAGTACAAAAGCGTGGTCTGGCACAGAGTTGTTTTACTTGCTTTTGTGCTTCCCCGTGCAGACATAATAGTGTCACATACACTCACCTCCAGCATCTGAACCACTCCTTCATGCTCCCTCTTGGCGAATAACTGAGCCTGATGATTAAAAAAAACATTCAATTCACGGTAAACTTTCATCATAAAATTCACTTTCACAGCATAGCAAGCAGCACTGATAAAATTCTTTATTGGTGCCCAAAGGTTGCCCCCTGCTGGACAAAGTGCCCCATTTTTCTTAACTACACTGAAAGTAACCCACAGGCTATGAGAGCATGACTTTAGCAAGATCGAAACCAAAAAAACCCCCCAAAACTCAAGGCTGTATTTCTTACCCGCTGTAACCTTTTGATTTCATCCTGTTTGAACTTAAGGATAGCCAGTGCTTGCTCATGTTCCAATTCCAGCTGCTGCCTTCGCTCGGCGACCTCTCGCATATGCTGTTCAGAAGGAAAAGAGTTTATCAGCAGGGACACTAAGGAGCAAAACTGACAATAGCGCACCAAGCATCTGACTCAGATAGTACCTTTAGGACCTGCTCTAGGTTCTCCAGTTTGGCACGGAGTCTCTGGTTCTCCTCGAGAACTGAATTGCGTTGAGCGGTCACTTCAGAGAGATCTTCCCTCAGCTCCTCATTCTCAGCCCGAGTCTGGGAAATAGCAGCAGGTTATCCCATCATAGCATTAAGATTGGTTATCACAACTGTCAGTGATGATGACCAAAAACATGATTTTTATACACAAAATAAAACCTATATATCTCGAGCAGCGTCACCGACCTGGTCGAGCAGCTGTGCCTTCCTCCTGAGGAGATCTGCCTCCTCCTTTAGTTGCTCATTTTTGCCTCGCTCATCCTCAAGCTGGCTCTCCTGTTCCAGAAAAACACAAAACCACACTCATACAAACATGCGGAAATCCACGTCTACCCCTCTGCTGTCATTATGTCCATCGCAGCTGTGCTTTAAAGAGAGTATGACAGAAGGAAACAATGGAGCACAAGGTTCACTTACCAAATCCAGACATCTCTTCTGTCGCTTCTTTACTTCATGCTCAAGATTTTCACATTCTTTTCTTTTCTTGCTCAGTTCACTTTCCTGAAACAAGAGAAAAAACAAGGATAGTTACACTTAATCTTTAATTTGGAAACTCAGGTCAGGCTTTAAACTAAAACTCTCAAAATGCACATAATATATCATACAAAAACATAACAATAAATAGGAATCATTTGCATCATGTACATTTTGCAAAATGGGATACAATCCTTGCAGTTTCCATAGTGACCTCTGACAGGACAGCAATGAGGCATTACAAAGCTTAGCATCCTTTAATTATTCTAAATGCAGCTTACATGCAGGAGCAGCATAGGAGAAATCAGCTTATTTCACTGTGGCTCCAGGACCTCAATCAAGCATTACCCCTGTGTTTGTGATGTGGGAGCTACAGGACAGAGGCTAATTGCAGACCACCAGCAGCTGACTGGAAGAGACACTGTACTCTCACCAGGGATGACACAGCAAGACAATAAAGATAATTAAACTACAACCTGTGCTCTGATTTTCTTGATTGTGTTTGAGTTGCGTTCTTTTGAAGGCCTGACTAACAGTCACATTACAGCTGGGAAGCTAAACTACCACATCTGATTGTACTGTGTGGAATTCAAATACAACATGGTCACATTACAAAAACATTTCTCACTGAGCTTCATTGTCACACTAAATGTCTTGTCTCCATGGTGAAGACTACCGCAGGTATCCTTTGATTCACACTTTTGTTCCTTTGTAACTTCCATTAGAATATTTAAAACAGCTATGCCACACATTATAAATATGAAGAAAACAAGACTTTTATTTTGAAAAACAGATGCAACAATGTGACAAGGAGGGGAATTTATTCTTCAGCACGGGGTCCTTTTTCACTCTAAAAATAATGATATTAGCAAGATCATCCTTTCAGAGAATGTTACCTGATCAAAACAGATTAAGTTGCCTGTGTCACTCTGTTAAACTAGAAAGATCACAAAAATTCTTTCCTGTGCAGAGGTCACTTCATCTAAAGTTCAAGGATCAATTTGACAATAAGGGGGAAGAAAATAAAGTTTTGTAAAACATGGACCCAACATCTATCTTATTTCACTGTTAATTATCTTATTAGGATAACACAACTCATAACATAATATGATACTTATTGCTTTTTTTGTACAGTCCCAATCAAAAGTTTAAGACCAGTTGAAAAATGGCAAAATAAAATCATATTTTGCATGGTTGCATCTTAACAATGTTCAAAGTAGGGCTTCAACATGCAACAAGAAGAAATGGGAGTGAGAGAAAACATTTTTTGAGCATGCAATTTATTGAATGAAACTGGCTGTTTTACAGCTGATCAAAAGTTTCCCATATGGAAAAGATATATATAAATCTTATAAAGTTTGTATCTGTCTTGTGTGAAACTTGTATGAAAAGCATACAAGAGTGAAAACAGATAAAGATCTGTGATGGCCAAACCCGTGGCCACACTCTAAAGTCGGTAACTTTTGTATTTTCATTCTTCATTTGAACATAGTAATATATTTTAGTTGCCAATAACTTTATTGATTGGTTTGGATACATTGGTTCTATTTGTAAGCACGCACATTTAGTTTACTTATGTATTCATACTACTTCATTTCTTTGCTTTCTGACTAACCTTTGTCTTTTTATTTCTTACCTGCCATCATCCCTGGGAGTTGCTGGACAAAAGATGGTAGCCAGGGTTTGAAACCATTAAATATGAAGGAAGATAATTGGACTACACCACCACTTCCTGCTGAAGGGGGGAATGTGTGTTTTCTTTACTTTAAAAACAAAGTATTTGTATTTAATTAAATATTTAGGGTTTAATGGGGTTTTTTGATTTTCTTCTTTAGTGTTTAGTTTATTAACAAACTAGATTGTACTGCATTGTTTGTGATTTATGATTGTGTTTGTTTGTTACCCCCTCATGTGTCACAATGGTCTGATCAGCCATTATATATACCCTTGTATGTCATTTCATGTTTAGGTCAATTATGTATGTTTGAGCAGTCATTTGGTCTGTTAAGTTTGCAGTTGTTGCTGGAGTTCAGTTTTGTTTCTTTGACCTCTTTTATGAGCTCAACATTTATTACTCTTGTGAATATAATTTTTGGGGGTTAAATAAATGGAAACTATATTTTTCTAATAATTCCTGGGACTCCTGTTTTTCAACTCGGTCCATCACAAGATCCCTTGAAAAATTATATAAATGAAACTTGTATGTTTTGGATACTTACTAAAACAATATATGAAAGTGATGAGAAAGTGGCCACTTTCATGAGTAAATCATATAAGTTTTTACTATTTCTTTTCCATATGGGTTAGGACCACATGCCTAATCTGTGCAAAAATGTGGATTCATTGTCATTTTCTGTCAGGTAGTCACGTCAGGTAGTCACACGTTCAAAAAGCCTTTCCCTTTTTGAACGTGGTCAGGTTGTTGAACTGTATAAGTAGGGTCTCTCGCAGCGCGCCATTGCTGCTGAGGTGAGATGCAGTAAGACAGTCATTTGGAATTTCTTAAATGATCCTGAGGGTTATGGAACAAAAAAGTAAAGTGGAAGACCCCAAAAAATTTCAACAGCACTGAGCAAGAGGATCCAATTGCCTGTCTGTCAAGACACTGGACAATCCTCGACCCAAATTAAGGCTGTTACTGGTGCCGACTGCAGCCCTGCAACCATCAGATGGCATCTAAGTCTGAATGGCTTCAAAAACAAAAAATATCTTCAAAGGCCTTGTCTTCTTGAATGGCACAGAACAGTTTGGAAGAGGAATTATCAATGAAATCTGAGTTTCTGTCACATCAGCCTCCTAAGACAGTCTCCAAGAAAAGAAAGGCTTGTTTGCTCTATGGCACACAACTGCAATGTTTAAACTTTGCTAAACAACACGAAAAGAAGTCCGGTGAAACCTGGAAGCACCTCCTTGGTTCAGCTGAGACTAAGATGAAATTGTTCGAGTCAGGACAAACACAGTGAATGCACAGTCCTGCCATTAACACTCTGAGATGAGTGTGCAATAACAGTTGAGCTGAATGTAAACGTTATAGCCAAATGTTGGCTGACAAAGATGACTCTTTGTCATCCTCAGTCTTCTGGCTGAGGAGGAATAGTCCAGGCTGATAATCACACGAGGCTTCCCAAAGAAGAAAAGAGTGAAAACCATCACAGGGACAGGAATGTTACCCAACTTTAAACCAATAGCTTATCAATGACATATTTTCAAAAAGGTAGCAGATAGCAGGTTTAAAAATGTTCTCTGATGAATGGCAGAACAATCCATGCAGCACTTAAGGAATGTTGGTATACTGACATATTAAAAGGTAAAGTGAAGTAAAGTTTGTCACTTGTGTGAACACGTGACACATGCACAAGTGACCTCCACAAACAAAACAAACAATCACACATGTCATGTAATCATATCTTGTGGGGACATCTAATTGACATAATGCTTTCCCTAGCCACTTACCCTTACCATAACCATAACCCACTTGTAACCCTGTCACTAAAACCACATTTTGAGTCTCAAAAATGCCTTCAGACTTGAGGGGACTGGAATTTTGGTCTCCATAAGGGCTGTTCGTCCCCACAAATATGTGTGTGTGTGTGTGTGTGTGTGTGTGTGTGTGTGTGTGAACACACACACACACACACACTTGAATAGCAATACAATACATCACCACCAAAGTCAGTACAATAAAACCAATCATAAAAAAACAACATAAACCAGAGAGTAAAAGAGCTTACAGCCCAGGTATTTACCTTCTAAACAAATAAAGATATCTGCACCAGTAATTGACACAGAAGATGATGATGATGATAATGAAGCAAATTCAGCATTTAAGGAGGACCTACGGCCAATGTGTTATTAATTGTATGCAAATACTTCATAGTCAAACAGGATCTACAGGCCTGCAGGCTAAAGATTAAATTCTCTTTAAAACAAAATCTGCTACCATCCAAGCAGGCCTGTGTGTTCTTCTTAATGCACAGTAGTGCACTTATGACAGTGCTACATTAGCATGCCAACATGCACTCAATGACAGTGCTAGTGCTAGCATGCTAACATTTGCACTAAACACAAAGAACAGCTCAGCCTGAGAGTACTGCCATCTGTTTTGGCGATATTTGGTGACAAATCAAAGCATTAAGCAAATTAAGATTATGACTTAATGATGAAGCTAGATGAAAACAAACTAAGGAATTCATTCTCTGGACAAGATCAATATCAATGGAAAATTCCAAAGCACTCCTTTCCATATCTGTCGAGATATTTCAGTCTGGACTAAAGCAGTGATCTGACTGTTGTCACTAGTAAAGCTAAAAATATTACCTGCATGGTGATCACCTTCTGATCAATCTCAGTGTTTACTCTGCTGTTATGATATATTCCACTGCCAAGATACCACTTCCTCCTTGGACTAATAGTCACTTTATGAAGAAACTAGTTATGTATGGGGTAAGGCTTCACCAGCTATTTGTCAAACAAAACACTGTGGAGAAAACGAGTGAACTGAACTCAACTGAATAGCCAAGTTGCACTTTACTTACATATATGAATTTAAAAGAATTTAATCAATGGACAAAAAAGATTTGTGTCATCAATTCAGTTTCCATCCAAATGTGATTTGTTTTGTGAGGCAAATCTTGACCACTGACCAACAGAATATAATCAGTTTATTGTTGAATTAAAGTAAATGTTTGTGTCAAAGGTAATGAAATTGCCTTCAGCTGTTCCTGATATATCACATGTAACTTATCTGATGTTTTTTGTCCAATATGTTGCATTTTTTATTCTGAGAAAAAATGCAGAGCTGAAGGAAATAAGGTCTATTTATGCTTTGTATCCTACTTGAAGCATCAGAAAGGGTGATGTGCTACTTTTCCAAAGGACAAGATCAAAATAATCCCAGCATTACATAACAAATCTGACTGTAAATTTTCCTTCAGTGGAAGTCAGCTCAGTCACAGCACTGATATCCTTGCTTCAGTTTCAAATAAAAATACAAACATAGAACCCTCCCTATAATTACACTCAATATGTAGATTTAGCCAAAGGGAGGTGTGTAAGAATGACTTTGGAGACAGGGAATGACTTGAAAGCCATTCAGGTGACATCTAATAACAGTCTGTATTACTAACTCTTAAATATCAGCAAGCAGCTCTATTATGCACATAGCATTTGAACATGATGAATATTTAGCAGGTTATTAAATACAAACTGCTTTGTTAAGATTTCCCATCTTCATTAAGACAGTAAACTGACATTTGCAACAGAAAAGGCTTGCTGGTGGAGTAAAGTGTCCCTTAATTTACAGTGTAATGATTGGTCTGAGAAAAGGGAAATGAAAACTACAGTCCTCTTCACTTACCAGAAACTGTAGATGCTGCTTCTCTGTGTTTTCCTCCTTATGGGAGGGGGGCGGGCTAAGGCCCAGTATGGGCGTCACTCGCAGCCCCGACTCCTCTTCTCCGGGAGCTCTCTCAGACCTGGATGGAGCTTCATCTAATACCACACACGGGGTCTCTCCTACAACCTGAGAGACAGGAGGAATCATTCACTTTACATGTAAAAGTAAAAAAATAGAAAAAGAAGAAGAAAAAATACAGTTCTGACACAGCTACAGAATGGGGAGCAAATGTATAACTGTCAACTGTTAAGTAACCTTTACACTCGCATCCCCCACTGTGAAACAGGGATTATTAACAAGCCTCCTTCCCAGTGTTCCATCTACAATCAATGAGTAATCCAGGGGGATTCCCTCTGGCTTCCAACAAGACTAGAACACACTAGCGGGAAGGCTGTCCTATCTAATTAGGCTGCGTGCAATGACTGGACTGTTTCACAGCAGGTTACACTTCTGAAACAGTCACATATTTATCCTCATACACTGTATGATCCTTCTAATGAATATCCAGGTGGGGGGGACAGGCTAACACTGGTTAAAGGTTAAGAGTTGGGAATCAGTATCTAATTTTAGAGCAAACCTACTTATGCCTAGAGAACTGTGCTAGTGTAGCCAAGGCCAGGACCCAATAACAGGATCAAAGGCGCTCTGCCACGTGCAGCAAAAGGGATCTCTCCTTTACAATCTCTTTGCTTTTACACTGGAAGACTATTACTATAGACATTAGACGCACCAGTTTAAGATAGGATTCACCTGGGGATCAGCAGACTACTTCAGGAATTCATATGCTGTATGAAAAACATTTACAGCCACAAAAAAACAGTAAGATCTATACCATATATATATCTCTCTCTTTATATATATATATATATATATATATATATATATATATATATATATATATATATATATATATATATGTGTGTGTGTGTGTGTGTGTGTGTGTAAGATTCTGTTTGAAAAAAAGTGTTTTTGCTTTTGATTTGTGCAAAGTTTGCATCAGCTGTCTCTAGAGAAGAATGATGTGGTAGTATATTCACAAGATGAAGATGCTCTTGGACCTTATTATGTTAAGAAACTATTCAAATGAGATAAGGGTGACTCTTGCCCACAACCGCTGCATACGATAACAAAGAAAGTGAGCTAAAACTGAAACCAAATGATCTCCAGACTCGTCCATCATGAACAGAAGCGTTCCTGTTGTAGTTTCACTAAGAACTATGACAAGATTATGATAGGACCTTCGCCTTGAATGACTAGAAGTATTGTCTTCTGGCAGCTGTATGCAGTCAACATTATTTTTAGAAAACACAAGCTGTCACTAAAAACAACATGCCAGTAACGGAATAAGTGTTCTAAACTGGAGACAGCTCTTTTTTGTATAAAGCAGCTGATTCTCTCTACTGGATACTAGACATCAAGATACTCATTTCACAGCATCAACACCATCATCTGCAGCATGAAAATAGCATTCTGACACCACACTATTAGTTTCCCCCACCTTTTATTTTTTTTTAAAGAAGCCGTTCAGGCTGCACGGTGGATACAGACTATGGGGTTCAAAAGTCATTGTGACAGAATCTAATCAGTGGCATGCCTGTGAAGTTAAGCAAAGCCACCCCTGGTTTATCTGTTGGATACAAGGCCAGATGGTGTTAGTAGTGGTGACGAAAGGCCAGCAGGAGGCACTAAATCCATTGGCCCCCGGTCAAAAAAAGTGCCCAGGAAAGAGGGCTTTAAATAGGCTCGCTGCTGTTTTTTGTTCGCCTTGTTCCTTTTGGTGGTCATTTAACATCCCATCATGACCCTCTCAAGTGAGGACAGGCTAGATGATCCCATCATCCTGGCAAAATTCCCATCTTTGTAACTGGTCTGACATAATTAAACTAGTCAGTCTTCTTGTCATTTGTAATTAGCTTGCAGGAGTACACGCCCATTCAGTGGGTTGGCTTAATAAGTGTGTGGAGTTTCTGCTACAACCTGGCAGCCATACAGCATGGTGGGTGAGGTACACTCTAACTCTTCTATCAACTTTTTTTTAACATAATAGTCCACTTGTGCTTGCATGCTACATACCTGAACTCTACTCTTTCATTATTAAACAACACACTTTATCAAAAGTAGTGACTGTGTTTGCGGTGTTTTCATGAAAAAAATGTTGTTTACAGTGAGAAATCAGGAGGTTTACATTATTTTTAAAATACAGGTCAAGCTCCCTAAAAGAGCAAGCCTTTATCTAAAGAGATGATGGTTCAAAGCAAATATAATAAGAGTTCATGCGATGTGTGATATAATTCTGACATGGTTTTGGCGAATGAGCACAGAGAGGCGAATATTACATAATGCCACATTTATGCACTGTTGTGGGGAATAAAGCGGCTGTCAGACTGACAGAGAGCATTAGAGCACAGCTTAGGCTATTATGAATCATTTCAAAGGTTTATATGCCAACACACTAACCTAACAAAACTTACTATGACCTAACAGGCTGTTCTTGTTTTAGAGATTTTGCTTAGATATGGTGTTGAGTTTCGGTCTCTATTATACAGACAATTAAGAGGATAGGTCAACTCAGCCCAGGGAGTCTTTGCATCTTGGCCTATATACAGCAGCAAAACTATAACTTAATTAGAGACAAACCCTAGACATTAATGCTCTCTTTACTGTGTTATTGTGGGGTTTTTCCCATATGATGATGATGATTATGAAATGCTTTGTCAGAGGCAGGCGGTACCCACGCAACAGTATTAATTATACCTGGTAAGTATTACATAACAGGTGTTCTAGCCCTTTATTCCAATTAAATACATGAGAATTCTCACTTGTTTAACTGAGAAACACTGAATTTAGTTTGAAAAAATATCAAAAGTAAATCCTGCAACAAAAAACAAAAATAAAAAACCCTCTGAGCATCGTATTTACTTAAACAAGTGAAGGAAAGAATCGTCAGTTTTTTCAATCCAACCACCTAAGCGAAGAAATGCTACTTATCTTAAGCCACTTTTATTTATTTAAATTTATGGCTGGATATTTCGTTGAGAGACAGAGTAAATCAAATCAGGGCATGATGTGAGTTACCTATAGGAAATTTCTCTCTAGAGGGTTTTTTAACACATCTGCAAGAAATTATATCAAATACATGGCTTGGAGTTTCTGGGTGACAAACTAGTCCAATTTTAAGATGCAGTGGTTTGCATCTGCCCAATTTAAATTTGAAAAGTAAAAACTTTGGGTAGTTATGTCCCACATTTAGTGAGCACACATTATCTCTGCTGCAAGTAGTCATATCAGCTATCCGCAATAAAACGCTGATGTTACACATTCTCTGTTTTTATCTGAGCCAGTTGGGAAAACAAACTCAATATAACACAGACTAGCAGATCATAAATGGTCATATGCTCTAGTAAAATCATCCTTTGATAATGTCTACAATTTCAGGGGTCCGACTCTCTGTGAAAAGTCTAATTAAATATGAGATCAATAATCCAAGCGGACTGAACTTCAGTTTAGAATAAGGAGCTTCCATATTTGTAGAAAGAAGATATTAGAAACTATCCAGATCCAAGTCAGGAGTTTTTTGTTACTTCAAGACAGTGGTTAAATTACTTCTCTTTAACAGCCACAGGCTGTGAACATCAGTTAGACTAATACTCCAACCTCTGTCATCTACAGATTTCAACTGGATGCTTGATAATTTAGTTATTTAGAAACTTTTAAGTTGAATCCTTCTGGATAACACATGGAAATAGCTATGCAGTGAGCCTGAGAGGTTGAATGTATCATTAATCAAGCACAATGCAACCTTATCCTTTCTCTTTTCATCAGTAATGTCAAAAAAAGATTTTGAATTCCATCTACCATTTTTAATACATTCAAGGCCAAGCTTACATGCAACATAGATGTATAACTGATCAAGCGCTTGTCAAGTGGTAGTGTTTGTCTGACCCTGCAGAAATCAGAAACACTGTCTTATCCAACTGCACATTCAAACTGAGGTGAATCAAGTAATGACTGTTTAAATAAAAAAAGAGTCCCTAAATAAAGTCAAGAACGAAAATTAAATTAGTTAAGTAAATACTCAAATCCTACAGGATGTGTAAACACAGTCATGTAAGTCATTTACCAATAAATGACCTGATGAAGGAAGCAGGCGCACCTAGCGTCTGTTTTATGCTGAGACTACAGCATGTTTGCCTCTTGTGTTTGTATCAGACCAGGCCCTAGCTCAGACAGCCCACCTCTCCTCACACCCTGCCTCACATGATGAGGTATGGACACTTCACACTGATGTGGTCCATGTATATTAAAGTACACCCTGGGGCCATGCGTACTAAAGCAGGGTCAGATCACATTCAGCAGGCCCTGAATGCCATAAGCACATTGGTGTAATCCCTGCCGACTACTGAAACGGGTAACTGGATCACTTCTTTTAAAAGCACCTTAATGGATTGGCCTGGCCGTTGATTTTCTTTTTTAATACAGAACATATCGATGTCCACCAATCAAACGCTGCAGCACCATGTCACTAAGTCTGTCTGTCTAAATTCTACATCTGGAAGCTGTGAATATGACTGTTACAAAACTGGGTTGACAGGCTGCCCTTGACTAGGCCTCACGCTTGCTCCGTCTTTCTGCACTGTAAGAAAGTGGCAGTCCATCATAGACAAGGGTGGGATTTAGGACAGGATTTACTGAAATTAATATTTTAAAAAAAAAAGCAAAAAATAAAAGCTATAAGTCCTTAAAGACAAATCCCTTTAGATACAACTCAAGTCGGAATAGTAAGATGGGGCATGTAACAGCATAAGCAGCTGATTTTAATATCTAACGCAAATGAAACACCAGCTGCCTCGAGCCAGTTCTCTCACCCTCCCAATATGTCATGACACTGACTCATTTTCAGTGTCAAGTCTCAACTTTGAGTCCTGCACGGCTTCAAGCACACACACATACATATGAAGTTAGCCCAGAAGCACTACAAGAGACAGACCTTACTAAGTCCCAGAGACAGCAAAACTCACAAGATGACCTACCCCTTTCGTGTGATCTGTGGCAACGTCAAGGGTTCCTTTGGCCTGCTAGTTATCCAGAGCAGGGCGAGATAGAAAAGTCTTTACTGCGGCTGGAGTCTTACCTACCACCCAAAACCCTCTCACCGCTGCCACAGCAACAGCGAGCGGATTACTGGACTGTACCATTCTGTTGTTAGAGGGGATTAGAGTTCACACAACATGGCCCCTTTCTGGGTGTGCGTGTGCCACTGGCAGTGCGTGTTTGCGTCCCACAAATGAGAGATTACCACAATCGGCATTCTCATTTGAGCTCCACAGGCAGAGAATTTACTTCACTCCACAGGCAGTGAAAAATTTTACAAAAAATAAAGAAACATTATTAGATGTATGCATTTAAATGACATGGATAGGATGCAACTGTACCTCTAAAATTGACCAGAGCAATGACATTTTTCTCTGTTACAGATGTTAAGCGATAAAGAATGAATTTTACCATTACAATAATCCACATGCTGCATTAAGAAACCTTTTCCTATATTTAGGTGATATGTGTATTTTTATACTTTCCAGCCAGTGACTAATATCCAGAGCATCCCTCCTCTGGAGTAGAGCTGTTTCTAAGAACTGAAAACAGCATTAAATGCACAGAAGATCAGAGTGTAGGACTTTTGTGTCTTTGATCAGGCCCAAGTTCAAGAGAGGGAATCATCTCATTATGGCCTGTGACAGATTAGTATAGAGTCCAACAACAAGCCATTATATAACACTGGAAAACATCCATGACAACATAAACAAACCCTGAGTTTCGGGACTCACAGCGTTATGTTTTACATTCCTATAATTCCAACTACACTCTGAGACCATAAATGTTTCTAGATTTAACTACATGATGGGGCCTGTTTGTAATAGCTAATTTTATCTCACTTTTAATGTGCATAAACAGAGTTCACTTGCCTTTTTAAAGCTGATTAAGACCAACAGGGGTCAGTGCAGAGTCTGAATGGTTTCTGGTGTGATGAAAATGACTTTACCTTCTTTCGCCCTTCCTCCTTCACATTTTCCCCACTCTTCTCTGCAGCATCGTGGTCAGGAATATGGTCATGCTGCTTTCTGGATGATGTGACCGACACTTGCCTTTGCAGCCGCAGCACCTCCTTCTGAGACTCCCTAAAAAGCTTCTCAAATTCCCCTCTACCAGATGGAATAGGGGAGCCCTGCATACACACACACACACACACACACACACACACATATGTATATATATATATATATATATATATATATATATATATATATATACACACACACACACATATACATATATATATATATATATATATATATATATATATATATATATATATATATGTATATGTGTATATGTGTGTGTGTGTGTGTGTGTGTGTGTGTGTACATCCATTAAACACAGCCACAAGACAACAGTTTCAGTTTAGCACATTATTGTTTGTGTTGTTTTCAAACTGCATCCTGCAGGTACTAAATATTAAATTAAAGAATAAAAGAATATGGATGTTCCACTACAGTTTCCGATAAACACAAGAGTCAGCACATTTTTATTATGTCAATGTACAGCTAACCCTGCAACATCCAGTATTATGAAACCCAACAGATGTTCACACTCAAGAGAATAAGCTTTTAAGTCACTGGTAATTAAGAACAGCCTATTCCTGCAATGTCATCTATCTAGACATCAGCAGTGACGCAGCCTTTGCAACAGGGGCTTAAGAGGAGGTTAGGATGAGCAGTACCCATGCTGTCCAGCAGAGAGCAGGCTTGTGGCAGTGGTGACAATGAGGTTGGTAGATGGAATACTGCTTAAAACTTTAAATTAGCTTTCAGCTGAGAAATTGAGGCCAAATTAGTGCCCACATTTCAATCTAGGCTGGATGAATTTACTCAGCAGGAGATGAGTTATAAATACCTTAGTGATACCCAGCCGAGCCTCCAGCTCTCTGCATTCCTGCTGCAGGGCAGCAATTTCCTTGTCTTTAGAGAGCAGTACATCGGCATGCTGGGCCAGGTCCCGAGCTCGCTGACGGGCAAATGCCCTCTTGTACTGTTCAACTGACCCAGGTCTCATCAAAGATGGGGAATTGACCTGCAAAGAAAATACATATTCATCAGCAGAAACATTGGAATACAGTCCTGAAGACACATGAGATATGAGTGGAAACTAAGGGGATCAACAGTTGTAAAAAGAACTGGATTCAGCAGAATACTTTTAAACTTTCCAAGTCTCATTCTGGTCTGCAGGAATGCTCTTGTGGAATATTAGTACTGGCACTGGTAGCTCACTGATTAATCAATAGGCAAAGACCAGCAAAGGACAGCACCAAGCCAATCAGTTCCAGTGCAGTCTTTGTTGGTGTAGTTTTACCACAACTGATTTATATCTTTCGGCATGGCTCTGCTCTGGAACTCTCCCACCCTTTGATGCACATACATAGAAAGTCAGGGAGCATGTCCTATATGTGATCTGCCATGTGGATGCATAAGAGAGTATCAGCTGACTTATCCAGTGATTTGAACTGGCACTGAGATGAGCTGATCTATCATGATTATGTCTGGCGTTGATGTCATGGGCTGTCTGACTATTCTAACTCTAACTCTGGATAATGGTGTGGTATGTAATTTAATAGATTCATCAACTAGAATGGCAGCTTCACTGATAATCTGTAATTCATACCAAGATCCTTGATTGTATTGTATTGTATCTTTAGTTTGAACATGTTAAAAAAGATTTTTTTAATAATCCCAGTAACACATCAAAGATATACAAATTTACAGATATATATACTTAAATAAACATACTTGTGCACCCACACACACACTTATATATACATCCCTATTGTGAAAGTAGTGGGTGAGAGCACCCAATCAAAGCCCGACCTCCTCCCTGTACTTTGCAAAAACCATATTTTTGAACCGTTTTTTAAACTGAGTCATACTGGGACTTTGCTTCAGTTCTTTACTTAGTCTATTCCACAGCTTCACTCCACACACAGAGATGCAAAAACTTGCTAGTGTTGTACGGATGCAGGGATGTTTTAAATTTAATTCCCCCCCTCAAATTGTATCCCCCGTTCCCTTTTAGAAAACAATTTTAGAATATTGTCAGGAAGTAGGTTGTTTATAGCGTTATATATAATTTGCGCAGTGAGAAAATGAACCAGATCTGTGAATTTTAGTATTTTTAATTGTAAAAATAGTGGATTTGTATAATCTCTGTAACCAGTTTTATGGATTATCCATATGTTGCTTATCAAACATAGTGCTTTTTAATCATAAGTGAAATTTTCTAACTATAAAACAGTACTGAATAAACAGTGTAGGTGCCAATGATGACTATGTATAAGATGGTTTCAGTGTCTAATGTCTGTTATGTTAAAAAATCACTAAACAGAGAACAGGCATCTAAAGCTACTGCTGTATATCATAAGGAAGCAAAGGGCATACAGATATACATTTTTCTGATGCTGTATATTTCCCCTATTTCCTACCTGTGGGACTATTAAAGGTTTTCTTATCTTATCTTATCTTATCTTAAAGGCCGGTCCATGAAAATATTGTCGGACATAAACCAGTCCATGGTGCAAAAAAGGTTGGGGACCACTGGTATAGATGATATCTAACTAACAACCAGTACTTGTCCATCTGACAGTGCAGCTACTATCTGATGACAGCTCACTAAAAAGGCTTTTCATTAGACCAACTCACACAGTCCACAACAGGCACTGATCACCTATTACAATAGGAATATAATATAATATAATAGGATTACTTAGCAGAAGAAGTGCTGTCTCTTATCCTGCAAACACTGCATCGTGAAGAAAAAGAGGAAGTCCATTGGACAGTGCAGTTCTCAGATTTACAGTATTTATGAGCTGTCTCATTAGCAATAACAATGCATGGCCAGAAGGATTTAGTATTTGACAACTGTGTTTAGTTTCTGCAGTCTTTTGCTAGATCTCTTTAATAAAAGTGTATATTACATCTTATGGAACTTCTTTGTTTGAAAACGTTTTCTTTTGTATCTCATTTCTATGCATTACAATATTTGGTGTACAAGGCTGCTTTTATTCATGTAAGAAAAGAAGATCACACACTGCACAACTCAAATTTTTACATATTTAATAAATAGTGTGTGAGGTGTTAATTCATTTTGTCATGTTTTCTTGTGTTGAGAATTTTTTTTTTGTACCCTTTTATTCACATGCTCTGTGACTCTGTTTCTATCTTGTTATCAGGCATTATGACAATGTGATTTGGACTGATAAGGAGTCACTTGCTACATGTGTGTGGTAGTACAGCAGGTACAGCAGGTCTACTAATCAGAAGTATGGTGGTTTGATCTCTGGCTGCTCCAATCTGCATGCCTTGGGCAAAATACTAAATCTCAATTTACTCGTGTGAGTGTGTGAATGTTAGATAGAAAACACTTAAGCACTTAAGAAAAAGTGCTTGTATGAATTGGTGAATGAGGCATGTCGTATGTGTTCTCAGGTAGAGTAGAAATGCACTATATAAAAACCGTGTACATGTACCATTGGTTCAGAGTCACTGCAGCCACACTGTTGGGCGACTCAGTTCGCTGTGGGAATGTTTGAGCTATTTTATATGTGCTGCATACCACTTTGAGGTTGGCCTCCTGCAGTTTCCGAGCCCTCTCTTCCAACCTCTTTGCAAGAACAGCCAGCTCTGTGTTCTTTCTCCTCAGCCGCCTGACCTTCTCCTCAGTCTCTGGGGCACTGCTCTTCCGCTAAACAAAAAAGGGATGCAGCAAATGCTAACACAGCAGCGGCAAAAAAATAAATCACGCAGTTATTCAGAAAGGCTTAATAATGATTCAAATCTGCAAGTTGGAACTCAAACACCTGCATAAAATGACTGAAGAAAAGAAGCAAAGGGAGTTAGATCTTTTTGTTCACCGTCTGTGCACCTGGCCTACTTTCTTACAAAACCTTCACTCAAGTCTACACGCCCTCTGTTATATTTTTAGTCTTACCAGCAGACCATTCTCCTCCCTTAGTGTGGCACAAGTCTTCTCCAGCTCATCCAGGGCTCGCAGAAGTTCAGAATTCTGACGCACCAGGAACCCATAGTCAGTACCATTCTGGAAAAAACAAAATGACACCAAAAACAGATGCAGAGTTTACCATCTACTGCACAGCTGTTTGTTTTGTCTCCTTCAGTTAAAATGTGAAAATAAGGGATTGGTTTTCATTCTGGCTTAATCCATGTTTTATATCTAACATGCAGAAAACCTCCTCTGCTGTCAGCCACTGTTTACACAGCACTGTCTAATGGTGACTGACAGATGACATCTCACTGAAAAGGCTTTTCATTAGACCAACTCATTCAGTCCAGAACAGGCACTGATCACCTATTATAATAGACCAACTCGGAAGAAGAAGTGCTGTCTCCTATTCTGCAACACTGCATCATGAAGAAGAAGACAAAAATCTTGAGATAGCCTACAACCTTTTCCACCCGTCACATTCTCATATAACAACTTAGCTTCTTCCTTGAAATGCCCATTAAAAAAAACAAATACACAAATTAACTGATACTTTAACTCTCTTAAGCAATTTTTGATTTTAGCTGTCCCTCCTAATGACCCAAAGCCACTTTAGTGCTAAGCTCATCTTTGTTACAGAGATTTTTGCTAACTCTGAATTTTTATGTTTTGGGCTATAAGCCGCTACTTTTTGCACAAGCTTTGAACCCTGCGGCTTTTAGTCAGGTGCGTCTTTTCTATGGATCGTCCATGATTTTTGTGATATCGTAAGAGGATTTGTTTTGGTTGTTCCGCTGTTGTACGGCACTACGTTGCCTGGCGGAAGGGCATGTGATCAGACACACAAGAGTACAAGAGTGGTATGCTGGTCACATGTCCGTCCGTAGCGCGAAAGATAAACTTGATTAGCAAGAGCAAGAGGGGTATTACAGGAGCAAAGGAAGCTTTCATTCACAAACCCTCAGTATGGCAAACAAAAGAAATGCATATGATGCAGTTTTCAAATTAAAGGCAGTCGATTTGGCACTCAGCAAGGGAAATAGAGCTGCTGCACGTACCCTTGGTATAAACGAATCAATGGTGAGATGTTGGAGACGCCAGCGTGATGAACTGGCTCTGTGCAAAAAGACGAAAAAAGCTTTCACAGGAAATAAGAGCAGATGGCCCAAACTTGAAGACTGTATTGAAGACTGGGTGAACACACAGAGAGCAAACGGGCGAGGTGTTTCAACAGTGCAGATCCAACTAAAAGCCAAAACAGTCGCCAACAGTCGAAGATAGAAAATTTCAGAGGTAGTGCCGTTGACATTTGACCTGCCCCTCACTAGGACTGTTAACAAGCAAGGCGAATCAACCATCACGGTGAGAACCACTGGCCATGAGAGAATGAATTTCACTTGTGTGCTGGGCTGCACAGCATCAGGGTTTAAACTTCTGCCAATGGTGATCTTTAAGCGGATGACTATGCCAAGAGAAGAGATCCCAAGCGGCATCTCTGTTAAGGTCAACAAGAATGGGTGGATGGTGGAAAGCGTAATGAAGGAATGGCTGCAAGAGTGCTATGGAGAAGTGTGAAAACATCCACGATCACCAAAGGATTTCGAAGGGCTGGACTGCTGCGTGATGGAGAGGAGGACACTGCCACGGCCCTTCAGAGGGTGTTCGACTCTGACACTGACAACGAGGATTTCTTTGGTTTTGAAAGTGACAACGAAGGAGAGAAGCGGAGAGTGGATGATGAAGCCATCCTGAGCCTGTTCGTTTCCGACACTGGAGAAGAGGACTTTATGGATTTTAGTGCGCAGGAAGAAGAGAAAGATGGTGGTGAATGACTGACTTTTCTTCTTGTTAAAGCCGTGTTACTGCACCTGAGCCTAAAAGGTAGGCCAAATCTCTTTTTCTGGTGTGCTGTAGGTTATTGTTATACACTACATTTGTTACTCGTTTATAAAGCCCAGTACATGTTTCGTACTTGTAATTACCGTTACTTGTGCATATACGTAAAAAGTTATGCAAATATGTACCGGTAACTTGTTTTTCAAAATATTAATACAAGGGATGTGGTCCCAAACAGCCATCTCTTTCCTGACAATTCCCTTTGTGCATATTCTCTTACATATGGTAAGTAAACATTAAAACACCTGCGGCTTTTAGTCAGGTGCGGCTAATGTATGTACAAAACAGGAGTTTCCCCTGATTTTAGCTTGTGCGGCTAATATTCAGGTGCACTTTGTAGTCCAGGAAATACGGTACTAATTCTGCCACAACTTTTTATTTATTTGGTTATATTTTAACACAATTTATGCTGAGAAATTGTATTCTACAATCTGTCTATTTCCATACTGTTTTCCCCCATTTTTTCTTTCTTTCTATAGAAGATGTTGGTTTCAAAATTACTTTAACAATAAATAAACCAAGTAAATGGGGTTCAGTTTTGTTTTTATTTCACAGTGTCTCAATTTTCTGAAATCAGGATGGCATGTCCCAGTCCTAATGTATATTTAATTGTTGTATTCAGGTGTTATATTTTAAGTGCACCATGAGGTTTATAAAGTGTAATTAGGTGCTGCAGTAATATTGCTGTGAGCTTGTGAGGGGCAGCTGAACAAATCAGCAGTCAATGTGGCAGAAAGTCAATGTGGTGATCAAGTCTGTCATGGGTGTTTAGCAGCCACATGGTTGAAGCCTGGAAGAGAGGAAAACCTCAGATTGGTTGTTCATCTAAATGGAAGTGATACCACCCTGCCTCTGTGCCAGAGATGCTCTAAATGAGCCCTGAGGCTCAGACGTAAAGGTTGAGATTAGAGCTGCTGCCCACAAATGCAATGATTGCATCTAGAGCAGATGAACAGATAGCTATAAACCCAACAAAAGCTCCATCCTTACTGTAATGCAGCACATTTACATAATCTGAGTTTGGCTGCTCACATATAAGGAAAAAGCAGTTATAACTGAGACAGATATTAGCCATGGAAGATCCCAAGCATATGCTAAACTAGTATGAAATAGTCTGCCCACGGTTACCCAATGACAGCAGCAAAAAAAGACTGTGACATATTTCAGGTACTGTAAGAAGCATGCAGAAGTCTCCATGTGTGGAACACCTGCTTACCAATATGTCTACGTAAAACTCCTTATTATTAACCTAAAACCACCCTCTTTTGTATCACCACAGACAATAGGAAAACATCCTCATGACACAGTTCAGATTAAAAAAGTGAAACAAACACTAAACAATCATGCAGCCATCATCTCATTTATGTTGTCTTGGTAACTGCAGCAGACAGGTGATCAAATGGCTCCCTGGTGGGATTTTAATGCTACTGTACCTATTACTGAAGTCAACACTAATGGCCAGCTGTTTACTAAGACAGCAGCTGAGGCTCCTGTGCTCATAAAACAATGGAGATGCTGTCTACCTGGTTAGCGGGTTACTAACTACTATTTATTTTCAGAATCTGGTTGAAAAAAAACCCACAAAACCAAAAAGGAATGTGTGGCATTGGGTTACTAGATAAGGCATGATTTAGCTATAAATACAAATGTGCTTCTAAATTAGTTGTGAAAAGCTTGCAGTCAAAGCACGATCTGATCAGTGCAGGGGAAAAAAGATGCATCACGGACGGTTCTTATAATCAATACAGGCATAGAGTCAGCAAGTACATTCCCCTTAAACCTGAATGTCCTCTTTGAACTAAGCTGGCATGATCCAAGACAAAATGAATTTTATTATTCACAAGTCTGACTTAAATGTTTAGGACGTGAACTGCTTAAGCTGTTTCAAAACTTCACATTTAAGAGGATAACATCAAGATTTTCCAAAGCAAACTGTGGTTTTGAGAAAACAATGCATTTTTCTGCAATAACCATTCAGGGTAGTTAAATTTAGTGACTCTCTCCTTCTGACATCTGCTGCTTTTACATATAAAACAAAAAAACTCTTGCAGTATAGTCATTCATGTTTTCCCACATGTTTCTTTCTTTCAGATCAAGTTCACAGTTCATAAATAAATGCAGAAAATCCCTGCAATCCTTCATCAGAGTGTTTCCACCCAGAGGAAAATATGCTATAACCCTATAATACTCTTTAGTAAAGGTAGCACAATAGCTAACCAAAGTTTAAAGAACAGATAAAAAAAAAATTGTGAGCAACACTTCATTCTCAGACTCTGTGCTTGCTGATGACACATGAATTTTTCAGGGACACACGGACAATGCCTATTATTATATAACTGTCTCAGGCTGACTTATCTATTGAGCCATACAGTTAGACATAAAAAAAGTACTCTTATGGAAAAAAAAATCCATCAATCCATCGTCAAATCTGTCTTAGAATCCAAAATATATTAATTATTTTCAAGGTATAAACTTACATATGAAAAAAACCTATGATATTTAGCAAAATTTGATAATACTTCAGCATTGCACTAACATAAAAAGATGGAACACATGTTTATTAGAGCTCTGGTAGTCTAGAAAGGAGTGAGGTTAATATAGCTTTGGGAAAAGTGAAAAATAGGAATGAAGGTCCAATCTACAAACTACAGTAACTCCTTGGTTATGCAGGAAGTAGTAAACTACTACAGTCATGTGAAAAAGAGATTAAGCACACCCCACAATCCAGTAGCTTATAGAACCAACTTACACAGCAGTAAATCAAAGTATTGATTTTCAGTTTGACTTGATCAGTCTTACACATTGTTGTGGAGAAAATTTTAACCACTCTTCTTTTTACAGCATTGTTTCAGTTTATTGAGGCTTGGGGGCAACTCATTTAAGGTTTCACTAGAGCATTTCACTGTGTTTGACAGTTGGTTTGGGCTCCTATTGTTGTGCATCTCCGCTTTGGTCACACTGATAATTAATGTGTGTATTTGATTAAAAGTACGCTAAAGAAGTGTACTTACTGCTTCCAGTGTACTTAGTTTTCCACAGCATTGCACAGTCCTATGAAAATCTATGTGCACATGATAAAAATTGAGGCATTAAAATGCCTTTTCTTTGCCTGTAAAATAATAAATATATCTGTACAATCTGCTTTATAAAAATAAAAGCTGCTCATTCTTGCCTATGATGACATTGTTCAGTTTTTATTT